TTTACCATCTGACCCCAAGTATGAATGTCAGAGGTGATGTTGATCTTTAACCTTTAATCTTTAACAAATGCATAAGGTCAATTTTGCTCATGCATATACAACAACACACAACAACAAACAACAACAAATTACATTTTTATATTTATAGAGCGCCTTTCACGTCGGGAGGATATCCCATATACTGTATTAACTGATATACTGTATTGGATACAAGTATATTTTGTGCTGGATTAGGCATGAATCTTCAGTACCTTACACATCTAATTTACACTCCCAAATAGCTAATTGGGACTATTAAATTCTGTAACATGTTTGATGGTGAATTATCATATAGGATTAACGGTTTTAATGAATTTGAACATAATAAATGTAGTGAAAACTATATTAGATGATAGTGCTGCAATTTGCAGCCATTTATGTTTGAGACTTTACCTATGCATTAGTCTCAATGGTCTCATTTAAAAAACAACTTGCTAATGTTTACATTTTGGGTTTAATTTTGTATAACATCATTTTATGTAATGTCAGATTGTTTGAATATCAAGGTTTAAATAAGAAAAAATGTAAATGCATCATTGTTAGTCATAAAATAAAATACAGATTTTTTTATTCTCAAATATATGAACCTCAAGGCCCTTGACAAAGCTGAAGAGGGTTTTGCTCGATTGCCGTGACAACTGTAACTAGGAGAAGATCATTGCAACAGAAGTTACTGTGTCATGAACACTTGTAGCAAAATATCATCTCATTCAACAAGAGACAATGTCCTTATTGGGGTTGTGAAATCGATTTAGAAACAAGGAATCAGTTGGTTGTCACGATTATTAAAATTAAATGCACAAATATATATGAAATTACAGCCTAAAATTCAGATTACTGAATAGTTTGAACTGACTAATTCTGTCCCTTGTCATAAAGACGTCATCCAATAGAACTAAGAGCTGTTCATTCTCCAACATCAATATTCTTCTGAATCTTTTATATTTTAAACCACATAAAATATTATTTCAAATGAAGAGCCCTCCCCAAAACATTAACCAATCTTTCTCTTTCGGATGCGGATTGCCCTGTGCAGCTGAGGATTTTAATGAAATACTCTGTTTTTATTTCAGATTTCCAATACTTGTGAATTTTCGTTTTCTCTAAAAAGTCTTCACTTTTAAACATAAAATAATTTGAGCCATACCATTGCTTCTGAATAGTTCTTTGTTAATAAAGCACTGATCAATTGATGTTTTCGTAAGATTCTGTAACAATTACAGTAGCTCAAACTGGTAAACAGAAATCTGTAGGATGTGTATATCTTTTGTCGTATTAAACAACAACAACAAGATTCCATTTATAAAGCGCCTTTCACGTCAGGAGGACGTCCCAAGGCGCTGCACAGTTGGGTCATGACCCGAGCAGGGGGGAAATGGTCAGGGTGAGGGGAGGGAAGGGAGGGAGAGAGGAGGGGGGAAATGGTCAGGGTGAGGGGAGGGAGCCTATCAATGGAAGATTTCACTTTTCAGATAGGTAAAAGATGCATCTTTTAGTGGCCGATTAGATAAATGTTTGATCCCTTTTCTGGGCTGTATTTGCTGAGCCCAATCAGGGCAACAGAGAGATCAATGGACTTAGAATGGGGAAAAATAATAAGATAATAATAATAATCCTTGCATTTGATATAGCTCTTTTCACATCTTCTCGATGTCTCAAAGCGCTTCGCAGAATAGACTGTAAAGCGAATTGACCGTATATTTGTGGGCGAAAATAAACCTGCATCACTGTTTAGATTTTGGTTACCTGATGTTTACATTTGTTTTCCTGAGCTGGTGACTTGCATCTCATTTTTGAAAGGTAGATACTTGTGAATTAAGCCCATGGATTTATTTATGGATAAAAGGCAAAGAAATAGAATTAAAAGATCTGCATCAACTACTGTAATGTACTATTAGAACAGGCTTCATGTGCTGTATGGTCTTTTCCTATCCCTTTGTTCTTATGAGTTCTCAACCAAGCATGATGTGTGGATATTGTGTTCAAAAGGATAAAATATTGACATTATCCACATCACAGAGATAACATTTAAGTTTTATACTCTCAAAATCATGTCAGTGACTTTCTTCTTTACACCCTTTCCAATGCAATAATAATAATCCTTGCATTTGATATTGTATCTTCTCGTGTCATTATGACATCTCAAAGTGCTTCACAGGATATATTGTAAAGTTGTGCTACTGTATTTGCACATAGCAATCCCCTTTTGAATGTAGTTTGCTGAAAATTGCACAAGATTGTAACTGTGACTTGACCAATGAGCACTTTAGAGTTAAAATAATTTAATTAAATTTGTCTTCAGGATGTTCCCAACACTTGATTACGATTGTAGATAATGAAATCGAACTGATTAGATACACTCAAGAATCGACCCTAAATCTTTATTTCGGACCATCAAAATTCATTTATCTTTACTTTATGTTTATTCCGCAATAGTATATAAGCATGTTTTCCTCCTAGATAAGCTAATCAATATTACATCAATTAAGTTCTTTAAAATAAATTGGATAACGTTTGGCCTCAAAGAGAATTGGGGATCATATGAATGTAAGTAATTTTATACTGTATAGTTCCAGGTCATTTCTGTCCACACTGCAGGTTTAATATATTTTTATGACATCTTGCCATTTTAAGACGTGAATAGCGCTGTATCAAATGCAAGAATTATTATTAGTGTTCAGGGTCAGAGGAAGGCAAGTTGTTTCTTAACTAACACAATGAATAGGGACACATGCTACATTATGATTATAGTGCCCTCTCGTGGCAAAACACATTGCTGTTTGTCATGAACAAACATAAACCCATTGACCAGAACTGAAATAGTTTTCTATCTGTATGTGTGTAGGAAACAGCAGTGATCTAAACAAAAGAAAAATTGTGAGTACAGCTGGAAATCTGCAAGAAAGATTTCAAAATGCTGAAAATACTCAAAAGATTCAGCATTTGAAAAAGATGAGTTGATATTTCAACGTTACCGTTCAATAGCAAATCGGATAGGTAGGGAGGTGTGAGGACATGACAGGATTTGAAAGTGAGTGAAGGGATCTTGAAATCGATCCATTCAGTAATTGGGAGCCAGTGATGTAATGGGGTATAGAGTTTTGTGCAGGTGAAAATCCAGGCAAGTTTGAATTAGCTGTATTTTGTGTATGGTGGAGCTGGGGAGACCAGCGAGGAAGGCATTGGAATATCCAGCCGGGAAGTGACAAAGGTGTGGATGAGGGTTTCGGCTGCTGGGGTTGTAAGGTACGGATGGAGGCGGGCAATGTGACAGAGATGGAAAAAGGTGGTCCTGGTCAGAGAAAGTATGTGGGGTAGAAAGGAAAGCTGGGGATTGAAACAAATGGGTCAATGAAGCGTTAGAATGAGTGTAACACAATTGTGGGATTGAGTAGGAAAATGAGGGAAAACAGGTAAGGTTTGAAGCTGTTCATGTCTCTGTTTAGACCAATAGATTGAAGAGTGGTCAGTAAAAAATAACCCTGGGATTTTGGGTTAAGGCACAGGGGAGCCAGCGTCATCCATTATTTATAAAACAATCACCAAATCTGCGCTTGGCGGTTCCTCTGATATAAAGAGAGTACTGAACTTTGCACAGGGAATGGAGTGTACTAGGTTAGAGGAAATATCTGTAAGTCACTGTCATGCATAAAACATGTTCATTTTTAAAAATGTTTGTTTCAGAAGAATAACTTCTCCCAAGTGAACTCCCAAAGTTGCGATTGTTTGCTGATTTGCAAACACAGATGAAAGACTTTCTACTTTACATCAGTGTTCACGTAATATTTTGATTGCACAACTGTTACGGAATAGAAACTTTGCAAATCACGTGAAAGGTGGGAGTTGACAGCATATCGTGGACAGGTTAAAGGGAGGGCAGAGATTGTTACACCGGATCTGAACGAGTATCCATGTTAAAACAGAAATGCTGAACATTGCTAGCAGTGTAATGCGTTATGACTCTCAAGATAGGTTCAGGTAAAGAAAGTTAATTTGATCTCATCCTTCTAGAATACACACTCTGAACATCTTTCCATCACAGTGTCAAAACATTTTGTTTAAAAAAAATGAGTCCAGAGTCCTGGCCTCAGCCACCCCTTCCCGGTATCATGTTCCAGTCAATTGTGGAGTCTGTTAGTGAAATCTAACAGTTACTTAAGATTCAGACAGTGACAGGGGGGGGAGGGAGGGAGTGGGGATATTCTGCAATGACAAATTGCACTGGGTGGGGGTAAGGAATGGAGGGAGAGGAATGAGGGGAATAGAATAGAGGAAATAGAGGAAAGGGGGTGGGAGAGATGGATGGAGGGGGGAATGCTGGGGAGAGAGGAATGGGGGAGAGGCTTGGGGGAGAGAGGAATGGGGGGGGGAGGTGAGAGGAACGGATGGATGTTGGAGGGGAGAGGAATGAGGGGGAAGAGAGGGGAGAGGAATGGATGGATGTGGGGGGAGAGAGGAATGGGGGGGAGAGGAATGGGGGGGAGAGAGAGGGGTGGAATTGGTGGATGGTGGTGGGGGGAGAGGAATTGGGGGGGAGAGGAGATGGTGGGGGGGAAGAGAGGAATGGGGGGGAGAGGAGATGGTGGGGGGGGGTGGGGGTGAATGGGGGGGAGAGGAGATGGGTGGGGGAGAGGAGATGGTGGGGGTGAATGGGGGTGAGAGGAGATGGTGGGGGAGAGGAGATGGTGGGGGGGGGGTGTGAATGGGGGGGGAGAGGAGATGGTGGGGGGAGAGGAGATGGTGTGGGGGGAGAGGAGATGGTGGGGGGAATGGGGGGAGAGGAGATGGTGGGGGGAGAGGAGATGGTGTGGGGGGAGAGGAGATGGTGGGGGGTGAATGGGGGGGAGAGGAGATGGTGGGGGGGAGAGGAGATGGTGTGGGGGGAGAGGAGATGGTGGGGGTGAATGGGGGGGGGGAGATGGGGGGGAGAGGAGATGGTGGGGGGAGAGGAGATGGTGGGGGTGAATGGGGGGGGGTCTGTCCACTGGCCGTGTGAGAGCGAGGCGGGCGCCGCGCTTGCGCACTGCACAGGCCGGGGACGAGCGCCGCGAGAGAGAGAGAGAGAGAGAACAGGTTTGGAAACAGCGAGAAGCCGGAGCTCGAGACACAGGGACCGAGAGAGAGAGAGAGAGGAGAGGGAGAGAGAGGCCGGGGAGGGGGGGGGGGGCGGGATGGGAGGGGGCGGGGGGGGCTCACTGTGGGCTCGCAATCAACGGCGACGGCGGCGGCGAGCGGTGTTGCAAAGGCCGGAGACGCCGGATTCCCGCAGCCAGTGAGCGCTATGGCCGCTGTCTGTCTGTCTGTCTGCGCTCTTCCTCTCTGTCTCTCTGGCCCTGGGGGTGGGGGTGAAGGTGAATAAGGTGGGGGTTGGGGGTTGGGCGGGAGTTGGGTTCGGGGGGGTCGTCGCTGATCACCTGCTGTTTTTTGTTGTTGAGGCCGCCACTTGGACGCCCTCCCAACCGAGTCCACAGGCCCCACTCGAGCCTCCACCCTCCACCCCCCCCCCACCCCACCCCACCCCGAGGGAGTGATCGTCCCCGGGCTTTTTTTTTTTGACACCCGGGCGGGCCCCGTATCGCGTCTCCCGAGGCGTCTCGAGGCGCTTCTCCCTTTCGCAGGCTGCCCCGTAACCTCGAGGCGAGCGGACCGTCCGTTTCGTGGGCGGGACGCGGCAGCCGGTGGCGCGCGCGGCCGGCGGTCCCGCACACGTCCGCGGGTCGAAGCGACTGCATTGCTATTGCGTACGCGCGCGCGTGTATATGGTTTTTTTTGGAAGGCGTTGTTACCGCCCATTCCCCCCCCAACCCCCCCCACCCCCCCACCCCGGAAAAGCGATCCGCCAACCGACCTACAACCCGGGTTCCTGCTTACTGCTCGGCACACAGAGGCGTGTGGAGTCAGGGAACTTGGCCGGCGTTACGCGCCCTGCCGGGAATCGAACCCGGGTCCTCTCGCTTGCGATCCATTACTCTGGCACACAAAATCTCCTTTCTCTCCGCTCTTGTTTCCCATCCGGCTCCCCCCCCCCCCCCCCCCCCCCCCCCCCCACCGCCGTATGTAGATACGTCCAGAGCATTGCAATTATTAAGGATAGCGAAGTGATCCGTTTGATTTTTTTTAAGAAAAAAAGATGACAACATCCCTCTCTTAACACTGCGTGGTCCTCTATCAAGTTGCTCATGTTATCTTTTAATCTACTTTTTTTTAGAGAGGATGTTGCTTCCTTATCACCGGCTATTCCAGGATCATTTAGAGGTTAACTCTAAAAGTCAAACGGGGGTCCAGTTTTTGGAAAGTGTCATGTCGTGTCAGTGGGTTAAAGGGAGCAGCCGAAGTGAAGTGATTCGCATGAGTTCAAGTCAGATGCAGGGGGAGGATTTGGTCTGTGTTACACTTGATTCTTAAAATGAATGTTGAGTTTGTAGGTTAGTTGCACCAGCCATCATCACTTGACTACGTCTCAAGTCTGCTGGGGTAAAAACCGTACAGCTCTAAATGTGATTTGTTAGGCACATGCAAGATCATAGAATTCCTGATACTGTAGGAAATTTCCCATAACAAGCTGCCATGACTGCTTAGAAGCAATTTATACCATTGTCCAGAACTGAACTATAACATCTATTTAGCATATCCCAGATGCATCTGTTATCTGCTGCATGGATGAATGAATACTGTTCTCCCAACTAATTAAATCCTACAGTTCGAATGCAGCAGTGTCTGTTAGAACACCAGGCAAAGTAACGGGGCAATCAGTTTGAATGCTGAGATTTAATTAATTAATTAAGTAATTGGAAAATAACAGATAAAGTAGTCATTCATATTTTTCCCACCTGCCTGCTCTTTGCCTCAGATGCTCAGGATGCTTTTTGCATCCGCTCTATGTTTTTGACGTCTAACTTCTCATGTTCCCTGCTAGATTCCCTGCATTTGCTGTAACATTTTGAATTCAGTGTACAGTTTACATCCAAATTGCTCATTCAATTAGTTCGTTCCATTTTCCTGAATCAAAAGGTGTGGTTTCCATTTGGTTTTGCACTTCAGTTCAGCTTCTGAAAGTGCTTAATTCATGACTCTTGATTGCCCTGATTCGTTATCACAAACTATCATATTATAAACCCATTCATTCAAAAAAGATGATTACATCCTGTTGATTAAAGATTGTGTAATGTAATAACTGTATTTNAAAAAACATACATGCTGGCCGGTTACACCCAAATATGCTTGATTACAAGCAAATGATAATACAGAGAACCTTACAGTCATTTAACAGTTGCTACATTTGAGACCATTTCTGGTGTCAGAAAATTCTATGAATAAAGTAACTGTTTCACGTATAGATACCAGAATCAGTTTTAGTGTTATTGCCAATGCCCATTTTTTAAGGCATAATTGTTGTAATGTTTGCATCATTTGATATCAAATTGTTCTGTAAGACTCCTTTTAAATGAGCTGCTGAATTTATTTTATTTGGTTTTGACAGAGGTGTGGTTGGAGGTTTAAAGGGTAAGGGAAGACTGGAGAATAGTACTTTTCTCCTTTTATTGAATTCCTAATTAAATAAAGGATGTAAAGTTGAGTCTGGAATTTACATTTAACTATCGAGTTTGAACATAAGTTTGACCAGTCAGTCAATTCAGTGAATTCCGTGCTTTTTGATTCTTCATTCAATGTTTGAGAGGTTTTTTTGCTACACAGTAGTGGGTTCTGTCATTTATTGTCATAATCTGATTGAGTAATTTTGTTGCAGGTCTAAAGAATACTGTTATTATACTGGAACAATCATGCAGTTTGATTTCATCCAGCAACTCTGAGAACTGTGCAAAAATTGATTCAAAAAGAATACATTTAACTCCAGAATAGTTACATTTTCTGCAGTCAGATTGAGAACGTTATTCAACCATCATGTCTCAAACAACTGACATTTTTTGTAAAACTGGTTCCAGTTTAAGTGGGACATCCTGCAAAGATGTCTTAGATTTACAGACAGCAAAATTTGATAATCTGTACTATGGTCCCAGACCAATTCAAGGGCTTTCAAATGTTACAGATAATCTCAATGTTTCTTTTGGCCCATCATCAGCTATTGTACATCTGAGGTCGCTACTGCATAACAAACATTTATTGAAATATATGAATGATGATCGACTCAAACAATCACCTTTCTGTGACTTGGTAATTATAGTAGAAGGAAAACATTTTTGTGCCCATAAAGTGGTTGTTGCTGTTGGAAGTAGTTATTTCCATGCTTGTTTAACCAAGAACCCAAACATGGATAGTATCCAGTTGGATCACGTGAGCTATTACGTATTCCATCATCTACTAGAGTTCCTGTACACCTCTGAATTCTTAATACAGGAAAATGAAATTCCTTCAGTTTTGGAAGCAGCACAATTTCTCGACATTATGGATGCTGTTAAATTGTTGACTGGTAATGAGACTGCATCTAGGTCAACTCAAACAGAATTGTTAACTGAAAATACCATCCAGATGGAAGAAAAGGAACCTCTTGAACCCACTGCCAAATTACAATATCGAAATGTATGTACCTTCTGCAGTAAAACTTTCTGTTATAAGAAATCCCTAGAAAACCATATAGCTAAAGCACACAGTGCAAGGTCTGTGGAGTCCGAAGGAAATAGTGAAGCCACAAAGATGGAACTCTCTAACAGGAGATGGTCAACTCGAACTCGCAAGTGCCCAGTGAAGTTTGAGCATAAAAGTGATGAAATCACAGATATTTCTGAAGATGAATCATCACTAAAAAGTGGCAGTGACAATGAGAAACTTGATGACGGTGAAGGGACAGAAAGTGAAGATGACCTGGAAGATGTTGAAGCAAAATTTGTGGAAGAAAATGATATTGATGAGGAGGATGCAAATGGTGAAGAAACTGATGAAGATGACACTGTGGATGTAGAAGAAATTGAGCAAAATATTCCAAAAGAACTAGCTCCTGTAATTTTACAGATTGGGAGCAAGAAAACACTCCAATGTCCTAAATGTGATAAAAGTTTTGACCGAATAGGTAGGTAAGGCATTCTTATTTGGCAAGTGATAAGTTTTGTGATGAGTAGATCTATTACAAAGTAATGATATTCTCAACCCTAATTCAGAACACTTTGTTGCAGTTTTCAGAAGTTGTACAAAGGTTTAAGTGCTCCAAGCCACCATCCCGTGTGAAGGGCCCTAGATAAATGCAAGTTGTTTTAATCAAAATGTTATTAATCAAAGAGATGATTTTATAGTTTACTGTTCAAACAATCGTTGGATGATAATGGCAACATTTTAACTACCCAATGTAGAAACAAATTAATGGATTTACAGAGCCTTTGATACAATTAGATAGTCATTTACTTCGGCAGGATGTCTCAAAACACTTTTTTGAGGGGGGGGTGGGTGGAGCTGAAGAGGGTGGAATTGATTTGCGAAAGCACGGTCAAAGAGATCAGTCTTAAGGCAGGCTTTAAAAGTGGGGAAGGAGGAAGCAGATATCGTAGTATTAGAAATTGCCATGAGATGTTAATCACAATGATATGGTGTGCAGAAAGTATTAGTGTATATTGAAAGCAACAAGGAACATACTCCTTTGTTAGCTGTATTTTATATACCAGAGTTAAATTATTTAACATGTAGACCTATCATGTGTGATGTTCTATTATCATTTGTACTCTGGATTCCCTAATTGCAAGTTATGTTATAGGAAAGTACGAATGCCACACCCGTGTGCATACAGGGGAAAAGCCTTTTGAGTGTGATATTTGTAATCAGCGTTACTCCACCAAATCAAACTTAACGGCTCACAGGAAGAAACATAGTATGCAAACTGCTATTCAAAGAAAGGAACAAAAATGCCCATTCTGTAATAAACTTCATGCAAGCAAGAAAACTTTAGCAAAGCATGTGAGGAGGTAAGTGGAGTTAAGCGATCAAGTTCTGAAAAGTTATATATAATAACTGAATTACATTGAAAAAGATGAACCAAAATTTTATTTGCTTTTAAAGGTAAATATATTTTGCTAGCAGATATGGTATATTACTATTAAGCCACATGGAATCTGTTTTGCAAATGACCACAGTCAAATTAAGTTATTAAATAGATAACTATGTCATTTGAGGACTTAATGCTTAAGTTAAATATACTACATTGTGTGTCACTGAGCCTTTACAGACCAAAAGATTTGAAAATTGGTTGTGAGTTGCCAGACTAAGCTCAAGTAGTCATGAATTCATCAGAAGCATTACTGCCAAACACTACAAATTTGAGGATTAAAAGATGTTCTGTATTTCTGAGATGTAACAAAATGAAGTACATCAACCAAAACTTTATGCTCTGATGATGTTTGAACTTTATCTCAATTTTCCATTTCCATTATATCTAACTTTTCCAGATTCCATCCAGATAGCATACAAGAGTTTTTTGCGAGTAGAAAGAAGAGAAGTGAAGCATGGAGGTGTGATGTGAGTCTGTATTAATCTTCTCACATTTCACTAGTACTAACCAATTTAAGCACTCACCCTCAATATTAGTATTGTTTTGATGATTTCAAATTGTTATCTTTGTCATAGGTATGTAACAAAAGCTTTACACGAAGACCTCACCTTGAGGAGCACATGATCCTTCACAGCCAGGACAAACCATTCAAATGCACTTACTGTGAGGAACATTTCAAATCAAGATTTGCAAGACTCAAACATCAGGAAAAGTTTCACTTGGGTATAAACTCAGAATATAAAATGCTCCTTTTAAAATGGGATATAGTACATAAGAAGTTTGGGACATATGTGCATGCGACTGCCAGGAAGGCAGGAAGGTGGAAGGCGAACTAGATAATAATAATAATAATAATAATAATCCTTGCATTTGATATAGCGCTTTTCACGTCGGGAGGACGTCCCAAAGCGCTTCACAGAATAGACTGTAAAGTGAATTGACTGTATATTTGTGGGCGAACGCGGCAGCCAATTGCGCACAGCAATGTCCCACAAACAGTCGTAGATTGAAAATGACCAATTTATTATTGTTTTTTGTTTTGGAGGGATTATTATTAGGCTCTGTGTGGAGTAAGGAAACTTGCCCAAGGTTTCGCCCTGCCTGGAATTGAACTCAGATCTCTCGCTTGCAAAGCGAGAGCTCTAACCACTGAGCTACAGGACTCCACAGGACTTTGTCAAGATGGACCTTGGTCTTTTTTTGTCTAGCATTTCTTATGTTCTTATTTTTGTGCTTTATATTTTAATTTTGCCCAGTAATATACGGTTAATTCACTTTACAGTATATTCTTTGAAGCTCTTTGAGATGTCTCGAAGACAATAAAGAGCTATACCAAATGCAAGGATTATTATTATAATAAATTGCCGTAGAATTCTCTTGCATATTGTACTCTCAAACTAGTGCAAATAAAATAACCTCACTGTTATCTTAAAACAATGAACTTTGATTTGATGGTTTGGTGATGCATTGAGTTAGTACATGTATTTCTTTCAGGACCTGGTTTCTAATGCAGGCCAGAATGATTCTCTGTTGACTTTAAAGGCCACTATGAATCGGGCAGTTTCATTCCAGTTCCCTGTGGGTTGTTGTACATAATGCAAAGCTACCTATAAATTAGCAGTTTCAGTCAGAAAGGCCATTGTGCCTTTGGAGATAGTGTAAATATGAAGAAGTCTTGACACTTAAGCATTAGTCAATGACGCTGCTCATTTGTTTTCATTGTTGTGCCAGCTACAGAGGCTTCCTAGTGCTAGAAATAATCTGTGTAATCCAACCAAATTGAATTAATGTAAACTACAGAGGTTATTCATTCACTTAAATCAATCAGTAAAAAAAATTCTACTGAAGAGCAGATTTACAGTTTGAAATGTTCTTTTAAACCGCTTATACAAAAAAGGTTTGATGATTATTTTAAAGATTAAAAACAATAGAAAATAAATAGATTATATTTTTGGGACCATTTCCAAATAAAAAAAGGAAAACAAATGATAGATTTGGAAGCTGAATAAGAGTAGTAAATGCTGCTTTCGATACTGTTGACCACTATATCCTCCTTCACCACCTCCTCTCACCTCAAACTTCATGGTTCTGTTCATGAATGGTTCAGATCCTTCCTCTCACACTGTCTCCACTTCATCTCCACAAATATTGTCTCCTCTAGCCCCCACATTGTCTTATGTGGAGTTCCTCGGGGCTCTGTCCTTGGTCCCCTCCTTTTCAATATCTATATACTCCCTCTTGGACATCATCCGCAGACATGGGGTCAATTTCCACATGTATGCAGATGACACCCAACTCAATCTCTCTGCCTCCACCCTCGACTTCCAAGACCACTGCTGTCCTGACAGAATGTCTGTTAGACTTCAAGTCCTGGATGAGAGCTAACTTTCTACAGTTGAACGTCAACAAAACCGAGGCTCTCCTGATTGGCTCCCGTCAGCGCATCCACACCTCAGGCACTAACAGCCTCACTATCCAAGGATGCTCACTCCACCTTACTGAGCTGATCTGTAACCTTGGTATCTTGTTTGCCCCTCAACTATCCTTTCTACCCCACATCTGTGCCATGACCCGCTCTGCCTTCCCCCACCTCCGCAACATCGCCCGGCTCCACCACTGACGCACACCACAGGCCCTCATAAAAGCATTCATAACATCCAGGCTCGACTACACAAACTCCTTTCTTATTGGCCTCCTCAACTCCTCCCTCCAAAGGCTGCAGATCATCCAGAACTCTACAGCCGTGTCCTCTCCCCCACCAGGTTCCGCGACCCCATCTCCCCCATCCTCGCCCGACTCCACTTGCTTCCCATCACACACAGGATACAGTTCAAGATCCTGGTCCTTACCTTTAAAACCTTCCATGGCCTTGATCCCCACCCCTACATCTGTGACCTTCTAACCCCCTACCAACCTGTCCGCTCCCTCCGCTCAGCGGGCTCTGGTTTGTTTCACATCCCCCGCCTCGCCCGCCCCACCAGTGGCCTTGTGCCACTCTGCCCCCACCCTCTGGAACTCCATCCCACAGTTCCTCTGCCTTGACCCCTCCCTTGCCTCCTTCAAGACCCATCTCAAGACCCTCCTCTTCAATTGTGCCTTTGGTCATCACCCTCCTTCCCCCCCCCCCCCTTGCTCTGCCCTCCCCGATCCTGAACCCAGCTTAGGTCTGAAACATTGATTGTCCAGCGCCTTGGGATGTCTTCCCGGCTTGAAAGGTGCTACACAAATGTAATTTTGTTGTTGTTGTAAAACATCTGATGTATTACTGTAAAGCAATGTTGTATTGTATAAGGAAGAGCTATGCTTTAACCGGAATTCATTATTTTATTTGACCACTTGGGGGTGCAGAGCTTCACGTAGTAAATGCTTTGAGTCTTGCACCCAGTAACTGAAACTGAAATATTTTAATTTTTCATTCTTTAGGTCCTTTTCCCTGTGATATCTGTGGTCGTCAGTTTAATGATACTGGGAACCTTAAGCGACATATTGAATGTACTCATGGAGGAAAAAGAAAATGGACTTGCTTTATTTGTGGGAAGGCTGTAAGGGAAAGGTAAATACAGTGTACTTACTGCGTGCAGTAAATATTTAAACTTTATCTTGTCTATTATATTACCACTTTTTCCAGTCTTTTACACGTTTGTAACATCATAGGGGCTCTCTTATTTACACCTCTCTGTAAGGGAGGGAAAGAACAACAATAACAACTTGCACTTATATTGTGGCCTCCACGCAGGGTAGCGCCTCAGAGCGCTTAACAGTGACGGAGCCTGACTCCGATCTGGGGAGAGTCGGGAGGTGGCCGTAAGCGTGGTCGAAGAGGAAGAAGATGAATTAACCCAAAGATTCCAAAGTCAAATTTATATTTACCTAAAGGATGTTTGGTAAAAGACTGGGTTTGAGGAATCTTACTAACAGTTCTACCATATTACATAAATAACGAGCAGTGGAGTTGAAATGTAATTTTAATAGTCTGTGTTTATTTACTATGTTGTTTTTAAAAATGACAGAACTACATTGAAGGAACATCTTCGAATACACAGTGGAGAAAAACCTCATCTGTGCAGTATTTGTGGACAAAGTTTTCGTCATGGTAGTTCATATAGGTAAGAGCATAAAATCAGCTCATCAAACCTTCATCTTCCAAATATCCTGCACATTATACCAAATTTGTCTGTGGGAATGTTTTCTATAAGTACTGCCTGATCTCTAAATATAATTGTGCAAACCATAAAGGAATATTTATCTGCCTTCACATTTCCAATTATTGGTTCTTCATCACAATATTAAACCTCCATCAGAATTCCATCAGAAAGTGAGATTATCTAGAGGCATGATCAGATTTAAAATGCTATGTGTTCATTTATGAAACTGTACATTATTGGTGGCCTATTGTTTACAAAGCTGCCTGGCACTCATCAGGGAATTCTTAACACAAAGCTTTATGGTACAAGCAAATATCTCAATAATCGCTTGACTGGCAAAATACTTTTGTAGTGAGGTACTTTGTTAGTATTTTAATTAGGTAGCTGATTTAGAGATCTTCTAAGGAAAGGATATTTATTTTGCAATGAGGTATGAATGTTTGACTTGTATTACAACTTTAATGTAGAGATTTAGTGAGGTATGGAATATTTTTGACAGGATGTTTACAGGAAGTAGTGCCACTTGATGGTCAATCAATACATTTACCAGTTTCTTTTTTTAATCAGACTTCATTTACGTGTACATCATGATGACAAGCGTTATGAGTGTGAAGATTGTGGGAAAACATTTATTCGCCATGACCATCTCACAAAACACAGGAAAACACATTCAGGTACAATGCATAAGTAAATTGTTTATTTCTATGCAATGATATTTCTTTATATTCAGTTTTTTTTAAATGTTGTAACATTTACTTGTTCAATACTGTTAGCTTTATAGCTTAATTAATTTCCTAATTCTTGTAACCTTTAGTTTTTTAGCTAAATTGCACTGAATTTTCCCAAACAACACAGATTATCTGTTTTGATGAACTTACTTCAATTCTACCTGACTCACCACCTCCACTTCATCTCCTCGCTATTGGTTTCTGCTCTTGCATGGTCACCTGCAGAATATCTCAGGGCTCAATCCGCTTATTTGCCTGCTGCCTGCCTTTATAAAATGAGATATAATGCATAAAATATAGTACATTTAATATAAAAAATGCAATTCTATTTCCTGTAGCTGTACCACACCCGATACATATTAAGTTTTTTTCCCTTGAAAGGAGAAAAAGCTCATCAATGTGAAGAATGTGGAAAGTGCTTTGGCCGTAGGGATCATCTCAGTGTTCATTACAGAAGTGTTCATCTAGGAGAAAAAGTTTGGCAGAAGTAAGTATAATGGACACACAGATAATCATGTGTGGCTGACTGGGTGAATCAAAAAAATACTGTAGCCCTTTTCTACCCCTTCCTGTACACAGTGGTATGGATAAGCAATTAAAGGTTTTTGGCATTAAATTGTGTTTTACATTGTTCAACGAACACATGATTATTCAATGTACATGTATTCAGATGAAGCTCATCTGTATTATATCTATGCTCAAAACATCAGAATAACTATCACTACAGAATAACTATCACGAGCATCAGAATAACTATCATTACAGTAATCCTGTGATGTTAGATTAAATGCAAAACATAGTTTTAAATTCAAAAAAGTTTAAAAATGTTATCTGTGTCGACTGTAATGTGGAAAAGAATAGTCATTTTAAGCAAGCTAATTTTTTTTCCAATAGAGATTATGGAAGTAGAGATTTTCTCATCTTATAGAAGAATCATTTAAATAGAAAGAGAATTAACTTTGCATAAGAAGGACAAGTTACGAGCAATCTGGATTTAGCCTTGTAAAAGTATAATCTTAAACAGGGTCTTTTGAAAATGCTTTAAAGTAACAAGACTAGTACTTATTAACAATTGTGTACACCCGTTGCAGGTACAAAGCTACTCTTCACCAATGTGAAGTATGTAAGAAGGAATTTAAAGGGAAATCAAGCTTGGATATGCATTTTAGGACACATTCAGGTAGAAGTATAACTATTAAGACGTCCAATAAAACTGTACTTAGTGTAATATTTTTCTGCTTGGTTTATTGATGTATAGTATCCCTCTCCCTTTACACAACATTACTATTCATGAGATTTACATAATTATTCATTGTGTCCAGATTACTGTTTCTTTCCATCATGTTTCATCCGACCATCAAATTGTATGGTTTGGCATGGTTGATTACTTGGACTGAGCCCCAGGACCATTAGGTTTGCTTCGTAGCCCTTGAAAGTGGGATCCTGTTGGGTGTAGCAAGTGAGCAGGGCTGTTAGAATACGCCCCAGATGAATACAGGTTCATTCGTACCCTGGGTCTGCTGGGAACATGGTGCTTCTGGAATGACCAGCAGGTACAAAAATGGGTGATTTCTAGGTTAGCACTGACGTCACTTCTTACACTTTGTACATATGTGTGTTATAATTATAATCCTTGCATTTGATATAGCGCCCTATCACGTCTTCGAGACGTCTCAAAGCGCTTCACAGAATGTACTGTAAAGTGAATTGACTGTATATTTTGTGGGTGAAAAGCAGCAGCCAATTTAACACGGGGGGAGAGAGGAGGGTTGAGTTCAAGGGCTAAGGCAACCACATTCTACTGGAGTGTCCCTGTGTAATGACGACCAATTAATCTGAGGCTATTGAAAATCAAATTATAACATGCATTATGTTTAAACCTACAGGAGAAAAACCATATAAATGTCAAGTCTGTAACCAGACATTCAGAATTAAGAAGACTTTAACAAAGCACATGGTTATTCATTCTGATGCCCGACCTTTTAACTGTCCCCATTGCAATGCAACATTTAAACGGAAAGATAAGCTGAAGTATCACATGGATCATGTACATGGCAGTAAGTCTATGGAACAATCAACTATGGCTGGTTCTGAAGTGAAAGTGGTGTCCCAGCAATTACTATATGCAGAGGATGGAAAAGTATACCAAACTGACACAAAACCATACTTGGAGCACAATAAGATGTACTCTGCAGAACCAAAAACAGCAACTCAAAATGCGCACAGCGATGTGTGTGTGCCAGTTACACTAGTACCTGTACGGATACCAGATGCCACTGTGCAGGCTGAAGCAGCGCAGCATTCTACTTCTTTGGCTCCACAGCCACACAACCTCCTTCATCCCCAACAACCAACTGAGCAAACTGATTACCAAAGGGCTGCAGACCTTGCATTTCTTGAAAAGTACACTCTAACTCCACAGCCTAGAAATATAGTGCATCCTGTTCGACCTGATCAAATGTTAGATCCACGAGAGCAATCATATCTTGGAACGTTACTTGGACTTGACACGGGTACACCAGTACAGAGTATTTCCAATACAGAACATTAATATAGACGAACACTGCATCTTCCTATGAGTGAAAATAAGTTTTTAAGTTAAAATAAAATTCAGATCAATTGCAAATTATGCTAGTAGATTGGTATAATCTACTTAAATTATCTACCTTTTTTCTATCCCTAAGTACACTATAATAATGTATTTTTTTAAAAAATGTTAGTGTTTGTATTCTACTCCCTATTCTTGCAGATAGTATTCATTCTAAAATGAATACACAAGACTTGGTCATTATATATAACTGTCATAATGTTTCTTTACAGGTGATAAGTGATAAGTGAATTTAACCGTAAATAAACTATTCAAATCCAAAAATGAAATATTGGACTCAACATGTTTGTTTGGCTACGATATCGGTTGTTGGAAAAGAACGAATGCGGAAGAGTGAATCGCCGTAAGACACGACCCACGTGAAGGGGCGCTCTTGTAAATGCAAGTTGTTGTTGCCGTGCGCTTAGACATGGTTCCTCAAACAGAGACTGCGCTCCACCGGGTGTCGATAAGATCAGACGTTCAACTCAAAAAGAACAAAAACACATGAGACGGTTTAATCGGAGCCGATATGCAGGCGTCCCACTGCGCATGTGAAACGTCTGGCTTCGTAGAGATGACGGTTCAGTTATTTTGCTCATACAGGCAATTCACTTTGCAGCATATTTCCGTGAAGCGCTTCGAGACATCTTTGGGACGTCCTCCCGACGTGAAAGGAGCTCTATAAATGTAATTTTGTTGTTGTTGTTGTCTGGAAGGCGTGATAAGGCGCTGTCTCGACAATAATAATTATTTAATAATAGTATCTCCCCACCCGCCCACTGAGTCTCACTCAGTCACAACAAAAACACGCCCAATTGGGCGTGAACCCGCCTAATCTGGTAATCTGGTCACGTTGCTTGGGCGGCGGCGGGAGGGGGAGTGGGGCGGGGGTTGGGGGTCACGTGATAGCAACGGTCTCTCCGGAGAGTGGGTGGAGCCGGAGAGTGCGCACCGTTTAAAGCTATTGGTGGAAGCGCTCGGGACCGGCCGCCCGTGAGCGCGATTGGCTGGCGTTGTTTTGGCAGAGCGGCGCCTCCCATTGGTTGGGGCGCGGATGCGCGAGCGCCATTGGCTGCGGCCGGGATTTTGAATCTCGGTGCCGTTAGCGAGCGCGTTGGTGGTGAGCGCGAGCTCCCGACCCAGTCGACCGTCAGTCCGTTCGTTCCTCTCTCTCGCGGGGAATTAAAAGGGAAAGCGGCGTTTCATTCCCTCCTCTCACCGCCGCTGCCGGCCGTTGACCCGCGCCTTTTAAACAGCGTTGGAAGGCCGTGCGGCCCCCGGTTACCCGCGATGGACCCCGTCCACTCTCCCTGAGGAGGGTTTCCACCGCCGCAGCCATGGACCACTTGGCGAGCCCGGTTTGCCGGCGGCAGGGCGCCGCCGCCGCCGCCGCAGCGAGGAGCAAAGGGAGCGGCGGCGGCGACGACCAGGGCGAACTCGTCCTGACTCATTTCGCCCGGACCCCCTTCGTGTGTTTCGGCACCGTGCGTGTCGGCTGCTCGAAAAGCCAAGTGCTGCCCATAGCGAACCCCCAGGACGTCCCGGTCCAGGTGGTGATCGACAAGTTCCCCTCCGCCAAAGGCTTCACGGCGAACGAGAGCCGCTTCGTGGTCGAGGTAAGATCCTTCCCCCCCTCCCCCCCCCCCCCCGCCGGCTTTTGTTTCAATCGATCAGTGGGCATCGATGGGTTCAAATAATAATAATCATAATAATCCCTAATAATTCTGGCAGTTGATATAACGCCTTGTCACGTCTTCGAGACGTCTGAAGCGGATTGACTTTGCCCATAGTGGGGCGAGCGAGGCGGGGGGTGGGGGGGGGGACGTGAAGAGAGAGAGCCGACTGAGCGGAGGGGGCGAGCGGGGTGGTAGGGGTTCAGGAGATCGCGGAGATAGGGGGGGGATCAAGCCCGTGGAGGGGTTTTGAAGGTGAGGACCAATTTTATTTTGGGGGGTTTGTTGACCAGGACACTTGGAAAGAGAAACTCCCGTTTGCTTTTCGAATAGTACCGTAGGATCTTTTAACATCAACAGGCAGATGTTTTGTTTAAACCCTCTCATCCGAAGGACATGCATGTCAGGTTTACTGTTATCTGTTGATTATTATTATTTCACAACGGCCACCTCACCTGATGGGGCACATCGAGTACGTTTTTATGTCTTCTGCTCTGTCACTTTCACACCACACCCAGCAGGTGAAGGTGGAAATCGAAGCTGAAGAGTTGTACAGTAATGTGCAGTAATGAGAGTGTGCTTTCAGTTTTCAAACTTGAAAAGTTGTTTTTTAATGTGGCGATAATCTCAGTCTGTTCCGTGATGTTGTTGTCATCTTTCACAGTAGAAGCAAGAAAGGGAAATCTGACTTGCAATCTTGTATCTATTTGGCTCTACGAGAAAAAAGGTGGCACTAAGCACATTTCAGTAGCTAATTTTGGTAAGAAATGCAGAGCAGTTTTAAGTGAAAGTTAGGCTGGACTTGTAGTTGCCGTAATGGGTGATCCGTAAGGCTGGATCTGACAGCATCTTGGAATAAAGCAATTCCACCTCCTATCACATATTTTAATGATTTGAATCATTTCTTATTAGTTTTTTAATGCTTGTTTATAAATCTGATTCACTTTTGCACAAAATTAGTGAATACAATTGTAATGCTGTCTTTGATTGTGTTTTTTTCACAGCCAATGGAGAAGCACGATCTTGTGATATCATGGATACCTTTAAATGCTGGAGGAGTCAGAGAGACTGTGACTTTTAGTGTTGGTTGTGTAAAAATTAAAGCTGTGTTTCTTGGTAAAGCAGAGGATCCACCCAAAAAAAAGGTAGGACATAACCTGCTTTGTTTTTCCCCCAGAAAATTTGCTCCACCTATAAGCTTGTATTTTGACTTTTTTTTAAAAAAAAAGTAGACACCTGTCATTTAGGGTCTCCCTTCCATGTGCAATTTGTTACCTGGTTACAGAAGTCCTGAAACAGCTTTGTCAATATTAATGCGAGACAGAGTTGATTCACAGTAAACGTGGGAAAGACGTGCTAACTCTCATTAACCTTATTAGCTCTTATGATAAATTATACAAATATTCCTGGCTTTTTGGGTTCCGGGTTAATTTTGAAAGTAGCCACACTCAGAATTGTATGTAGATCAAGATATGATAGTTCAATCAATTTTTTTTATGAAAGTTGACAAAAATCTTCCCAAATACAATACAGTTGCAATTGTACAGCGCCTTTCACTTTGGAGAACATCTGAAAGCGCTTGACACTGTTGCCTGGGAAACCGATCTGGGATAGAGACCTGAGTGAGGGATGAGGAGGAGAAGCACGATCGAAACAAAAAAGCATGGTCAAGGAGGTACATTTTGGAAACCAGCTTTGAACAAGGCCAGGGAGGGAGTTATTTGTAGGAACTCCAGGGTGGAGAGCAGGAGCAGAATGGCTGAAAGCCTGCCTGCAATTATGAGATTGGATTATTCAAAATGATATTTGATGCTGAGTTAATTATAATGGAATCTTGTTTCCTTCCACAGAGGAGCCTGTGGGATACAATTAAAAGAAATAAGAGTTCGGAAGGTCCTGTGAAGTCTAAAAAAAGTACATTAATGAATACGATTGCCAGCAAAACTACCATTTCACAGATTGATACTGTGAAAACTGGAGGACATCGGAATCCTCTTCAATCACGTGAAAATCTCTCTCTGGCTGAAGACAGGGTTTCTCCTCTTTTTCATCCTATCCATGTTTTAGATAATAAAGGTCATGAGGTAAAACCTTTATCCCCAATATCAACTGTAAGTCCAGTAAAACAAGAATTTGAGAATTGTGCTCCACAGTCTTTTAAAAGGTCTGTGACATACTCTGTCCTTAAAACTGATGATGACATGTCATTGCCAGTGGAAGGGGAACCAAATAGTGACGGAAGATATAATGTGCAGTGCTCTGCTGAAACATTTATAAATGAGCCAAACTTGGTGCATTCATTCAAAATATCACAACAAATTTTGGACAGTCAAACATATTGTTTTCCTCATTTGTCAGGTCCTCTTACTCCTTTTTCTCAGCGTCGCATTTTAAGCCCTGATTCTTTTGTAAAGGGTAGTTATTTTCCCGAAGGAGACTCTGAACCAAGGATAGTGGCTAAAATCCTATCACCAGATCAGTTTCTGAAGGAATCGTTGGCAGTTGTGAACGTATCTTCTCTACATTCAAGCCAGGAAGAAGCTAGGTCATTGCCTGCACAATCTTCTCTCAATCCATCAGATTTTCAAAGTGAATTAATACAGGAAAGAAATGATGAATCTATTAGTCCAGTGCACAGTGATTTTCCTGTTATAAATGTGAGAGAGCTGGAACCAGTAAAATCAAGGTTAACATATTTTGTGAAGCCCAAATGCGCTAGTCGAAGTTCTCAAGCATTGAAGCAACCAGTTGTGGAGCATGCTGACCAAGTGAAGATGCTCCATGGTTCTCCTGCAGACATCAAAATAACATTATCTTCGGAAGCATCTGATTGTGAATCGGAAGGAAAAGTGAAACATTCAAGAAGACAACTTGAAGTCCCATTTATTTTAAACTCAGCAATCAGTACTTTCAGCAGCTTACCTGTTATAGAAGCTCCGACTGAGAATAAAACCACTGATAATAAGTTGCCTTATGCCAACAGGAAGAGAAAAAGTTCAGAATTCTTGCATGATAGTGCAAATGAAGAAATTGTTTGTCCAAATAAAAGGACATCTCAAGTAGATCAGGTTAGAAGGTCAACCTTTGTGGAGAAAACTACATCAAGGAATTTGAAAGGAAAAGGAAAATCCAAAGGAAGAAAAGCAGGTGTGTTTTTGTCCATTACTCAATTTCCACTTGTGTTCTTGCCTTGGTGTGGAGTTTTATTTATAGAAAGAATGTAATAACCATTATTGGTGAATTTGCTATTGGTTGTTTAATGTAGGTCAAACACTTGATTGCTCTATATGAATGATGCTGTTTAGAAAATCATCTAAGTGAGCATGATTAAACTTGTGGATGATCAATACTGCAGCTCTGCTCACTCACTATTTTGCAATTCTCTAGTTTCTAAATGCTTAAAATCATCGATTGCTGCTCAAGGGAAAACTGGAAAGCTTATGCCTGGAGTTGCCCAATCAAAATTGACTTTTGTGAAATTGACTAATTCAGGTAGGTATATTTTTGTTAAAAATTTATTATAGTCTTGCCTGAAAACCTTCCTTTTCGACCGTGCTTACGGCCACCTCCCCCGGCTCGGAGTTAGGCTCCGCCACTGTTAAACACTCTGAGATGCTACCCTGCATGGAGGGAGCTATATAAGTGCAAGTTGTTTTTGTGTATAGTGTAGAACCTCAAAATGTATTCTGACCAAATTTGTTTAAAAAAAGGATGCAGTCATGGAAGCTGAGAATGTATTTTTAAAGCAACTTCTGTGTTCCTTGCATTTGATATAATAATAATAATAATCCTTGCATTTGATATAGCGCTTTTCACGTCTTCTAGACGTCCCAAAGCACTTCACGAATATACTGTAAATTCTAGAAGTCTCCTCTTGAAGAGTTTTGAAATATTTCATCGTACAACAATTTTAAACTTGCAAATCCACTTTAATTGAGATGTCTTCAATTTCTTCATTGTTTCTTATAGCTAAAAGTTTCATTTGACTGAAATGCACTTTTAGAAATGCATTGGTCTTTTAGCTCTTTAAGATTCATAAATTTTACAACAGCTTGGTATTCTGGGAAGCCAAACTTTTTAAATTACATTATTGGTACTGTCAACTGGTTTCGTCTTTGTTTGGTAATAATGTTATTTCTATCAGTTATTCCTAGGCACCCTATGCCCTTTGCTGCAAAAAACATGTTTTTTGATGAGCGCTGGAAAGAAAAGCAGGAAAGGGGCTTCACATGGTGGCTGAATTTCATTCTTACTCCTGATGATTTTACAGTCAGCACAGAAACCTCCAGAGGTAACTGATTATAGCTATTGCATATTCAATTTATTATGGTACATTTTAAATCGTAGGGAATTTCGTGGCTTTCAGTAGTATATCTGGTTTCAAACTAAGCGTGTACGGGAGAGGGCAGAGTGGGGGTTATACCCTCTCCCTTCTATTTCTGTATATAAAACTCTTAGCTTGTTGTTGAGTGAAACTGTTAGAGGGGATAAATGTGTTTCTCAGTCTCAAATTCCATGTTTGTCATTATTTCTTCCCCCTACCCCCCAGTGAACGCTGCAGCAGTCTTCTTGGGATCTGAGTCACATTCCCACAAAATGAGTGTTCCTGCAGCACCAACCAAGGAAGAAATGTCACTCAGGTCATATACTGCGAAACGCAGGCTCAATCGTCTCCGTCGGTCAGCCTGTCGACTATTTACATCTGAAGGGATGGTTAAAGTTATACAGAAACTGGAAGGAGCAATTGCAGTTAAACATCTGCTTGTACGTAAAGACAGACATCTCTGGAAAGACTATGGTAACCTTTCAATCGTTCAGTATTTTTTTTACTATTTGCATGTTAGTTTCATATTATTATATTTGTGACAGTTATTTGCCAGTTCATAAATTCATTAATTGTTTGATAAGATTTGTTTCTGAGTATCTGATCTCATCAATTTTGCTTTGGATGCTAAGTATCGGTACTTTACCCACCCCATCCTAGTATATTCAACTAAGAGTTTAAAAAAAGTCAAACATAGCTCCATGGTTAAAAGTTTGGCTTATGCCATACATTTCTGTATTCTTGTATGGTTTTCAAGCCTACGGAGAGCCCATCATTTCTATGAATATTTCCACCGATTTGCCTCGATGGTTCTAGTTTCTCCAAATCATTAATGTTTATATCTTGCAGCATGTACTTTGCTACTAATACTTGTATTCTCTTCTCAACTAAAGGAGAACGAATGAAGGTACTTAAATGGCTCTTGTCGTATAATACTCTATGGCTACGAATAGGACTTGAGGTAAGTTTTTTTTTTTCTGGATGAAATTGAGCTCCATTTTATTCATTGCTAAAGGAAGAATACATACTAGACTATTGGATTAAGAAAAATTAAACTTTTGCATTTTAGACTATTTATGGTGAACTGATTCCCTTGGAAAACAACAGTGATGTGATTGGGCTGGGCAGATTTATTTTAAATCGCCTGCTTTGGAATTCTGATGTAGTTGCCGAGTATAGACATCCAACAGTGCCTCATCTATATCGGAATGGTAAGTCATCTTTCTTCAACTTGTTAAAGAATGTCGTGTTTAACAAGGTGCATAACTTGGGATTTTCATTGGAAGAGTTTGGGGTCGGTTAGATTATTTTTCATAGTTATTTGAACGTGGAATGCTTTACTGTATTATTGAGGTAGATACCATAATTTTTAATAGGGCATGTGGTTGTGGGAGGAAAAGCAGGGAATTTGGATTGGAATAGTTCTTGCCGGTGGAGAAACTGATGTAACCTGTTTGTAAACTGATGTACACTGATGTTTCCAGTGTAACCTGGAAATCTTTACAGTATTCAAGTCAAATTGCACCCATTACATCTAGTTAAAAGGGATAAATATTGACCACTAATATTTTGAATGTGACAGCCATAATGATGATCCATTCTTCATCGAAAGCTACTACTGCATTGTAAATGATTTAGTTGCAATGTTTGTATCTTTAAATGTATCCTTTCTGTGGCCATTTGATGTGCATAGGTGGCTGTGATTATTAGGTGTAAGGCATGGGAGGCTAGGGTTACTGGCTGTCATTGTACAATTTGTCAGCTTTCCTATCTTGGAGAAGATTTGTGCCAAAATATAATCGACTGCCCTTTGACCATGTACAACTTGAGTCAATTCCTTTGATGTATGATTTTCTTTGAGAACAAAAATTCCTGCTGTCTGTGTAGCCATTCTGTTTCAGGTGGGTTTAGATCTTGCCTTATTCATATGTTGGTCCTTGCAGTCTCTTTGTTATTTGTTATTTAAGTACAAAGTAAATGCAATAATTTTATAACATGTGTTCAATTTTCTAGAGCACAAAGAAGTTTTGGCACAGTTCACACTAAAAAAGTTTCTGCTTCTTGTTTGGTTTCTTGACTGTGCAAAACAGTCCAGATTGATTGATCATGATCCATGTCTTTTCTGCAAAGATGCAGAATTTAAGGTAAAATGAACAAAGGCTGCATTTTGTTATATTGTGCATTCCAATTTGTATTATTGAAATATGCATAGAACTTTCTCCTGAAACTAGTTATTTGCTGCTATTTATTTTTCACTACCTTATTTTTTAAGTTTTGTTGATACATTTTGTTTTCATCTGAAATGGCTCAAATCTAAAATTGAAACAAAAGAGTTGCTCTGGTTTCATTTCTCGCTTGCAAACTTTGCAAGCGAGAGGCCCGAGTTCAATTCCAGACAGGGCGAAACCTTGGGCAAGTTTCCTTACTCCATATGCCTAAGAATAATCCCTCCAAAAACAATAATAAATCGGTCATTTTCAATCTACGACTGTTTGTGGGACATTGCTGTGCGCAATTGGCTGCCGCGTTCGCCCACAAATATACAGTCAATTCACTTTACAGGGTGTTCTGTGAAGCGCTTTGGGACGTACTCCCGACGTGAAAAGCGCTATATCAAATGCAAGGATTATTATTATTATTTCATTTTAAAAAGCAACTGGTATAAATTTGAGTAATATCTAGGGATATTATTTAAAATGTATTATAAATATTTATTTATATTAGGATATACCTAATTTATATTAGATAATTATTTATATTTTATCTTTTAATATCGCAATTTATTTATAACATAGGGATGAGTAAATGTTTTTCCTTCCTCTGTCGTTTAATGGCTAGACTTCAGGAGCACCATATTGTTTTTAGTTTATTAAAAATAATTATTACTTCGGCTTTGTGATGAAACACTTAGGTTAGGTGGTAAACCTGTTTGAAACAATAAGCAGGGGGTATTTTGGTCCAAAGAGCAGAGGAGGGTTGTATACCACAATTTTTGTTTGCAAGAAATTTTAATGTTGTTTTCTTTTGTTTAGTCAAGCAAAGATCTGTTGCTTGCCTTCTCTAGAGACTTCCTCAGTGGTGAAGGAGACCTTTGTCGACATCTTAGTTACATGGGATTGACTGTTAGTCATTTTCAGACGCCTCTCCATGAATTTAATTTTGCTATAACTAATTTGGCTGTAGATCTTCGATGTGGTGTTCGTATTGTGTAAGTATGATTTCATCCCTTAATTAAAGTACTCTTTTGTATTTCCTCTTAAGTGCAAAATGTATCGTACACTTATAGTACCTAACTTGAACTACTTGATGCAACAAATTGTATTTAAAGCCTGATACTGTTATTTACATGTGCCTTGTTGTATTTCGGCATACAATATGTTCTGGCTTATATTTGACTTCCTACAGACGAGCAGTAGAACTTTTGACACAAGACTGGACGTTTTCGAAGCACTTAAGGGTCCCGACAATTAGTCGTCTACAAAAGCTGCACAATGTGGAAATTGCATTGAAAGCCCTTAGGCTGCGAGGAATTGATCTGAAAGCTGATGATGGTAAAGCTGAAGTTTATATTTTAAAGGAAATTCTGCATTTGTAACAGTATGTTTTTTAAGCACAGTTTTATTTCTGTCTATTAGACCATGTAATTGACTCGAGAGATGTTGTCGATGGGCACAGAGAAAGAACGCTGGCACTACTGTGGCGAATCATCTTTGCCTTTCAGGTATTGTATGAAGATTTAAGACTATTTAAAAATATAGCTTCTTGAAGATTGCTAGTATGAATTGAAAGTGATGGCCAAATTCCCAGAAATAATGGTGCACTACTTGTGTGTATGATCGACATGAAGGTATAATAATAATAATAATCCTTGCATTTGATATAGCGCTTTTCACGTCGGGAGGACGTCCCAAAGTGCTTCACAGAACACACTGTAAAGTGAATTGATTGTATATTTGTGGGCGAACGCGGCAGCCAATTGCGCACAGCAATGTCCCACAAACAGTCGTGGATTGAAAATGACCAATTTATTATTGTTTTTGGTTTTGGAGGGATTATTATTAGGCTCTGTGTGGAGTAAGAAAACTTGCCCAAGGTTTCGCCCTCTGCCTGGAATTGAACTCAGGTCTCTCGCTTGCAAAGCGAGTGCTCTAACCACTGAGCTACAGGACAGTTTTTTTGATAGTTGGGTGTTTTTGTTATTTATTACAGGTCGAGATTTTGTTAAACGTGGACCACTTAAATGAAGAGATTAAATTCCTAAAAACAACTTTGCGCAACCAGCAAAAACTCACAGCTCTGCAGTCAATGTCTGTTCCACCTGGTCCTGTAAAAGATCACAGCCCAGTTGTGGCATCTAAAGATTATCGCCTCCAGGTCAAATTGCTGATGGACTGGGTTAACGCTGTTTGTGCATATCACGGTGTCAAAGTAGGTACACATTTGTTTTTTATTTCTTAGTAAGGAAATTGATGAAATTAAAAATTTTGAAATGAAAATTAAAATGTGTGTCCATTTTGATTTTGTTAAACTCCCTGCCCCCCCTCTTCCATGTATGCCTCTGTCCAAAATATTCACTAAGCAAGTGCTGTATTGCTAGTTTTTTTAAAAAAAAATGAAAAACTGAGACTTTAGTTGCTTAGATAGGATAAGTCTTTAGATAAGACTTTCGATCTGCCTATTTTTCTGGCGGATATTACAGTTCACACAGCACTATTTTGAAAAAGAGAAGTGATTCTTCCCTTTTCCTGGCCAACAATTTTTCTGACACCTCATTTTTGCTAATGGGACTTTGTTGGTGCAAATGGCAGGCAAAAGTCACTAGATATAACCATAATTACCTAAAGCGTTTTGAAGTGCTGCAAAAATAATTTCTTTCTGTCTTAATGTTTGTAATGTTTGGTTGTATTTCATTTTGCAATCTAAATTTGCCCCACTTAATGTTGATAGCTAATCCATTTATTTTCATGAATGACTCCATGTTTCAGGTTGAGAACTTCACAGTACCCTTTTCCGATGGTCGAGTGTTATGCTACCTCGTCCACCATTATCACCCTGGTCTTTTGGCTGCTGATGCCATTTGCCAGCGAACTACACAGACAGTAGAATTCGCCCAACGTGGTTCAGTCGCAATTGATACATTGTCTAGTGACTCAGATGAAAGTTCAATTGATATCTCATCAACCACAGCTGATCTTCGTAAGTGATATTTATGCTTCAAAATGCTTACATTGATATTAATGTTTTTCTAGAATACCTAAATATTTTGGAATGCTATGTTTATTTTGAAAGCAAGACAGTTTTTTGAAAAGTTACATTTCATTCACTTGTGTACTAGTTTCCGTTTGATGGCTCAGTTGCATACACCTTGTTGTGTAGTATTCAACCTTGCAAAGCAGAAACTTCTGCTTGGTGATCAGTGGGCAGGTTGCTACAGTTGTCCTCTGGAAACTAGAGTCAAGAAGGTTTGAATAAAAAAGAGGATCAAGCTTTTTGGCCATGTTTTGAATCCAGTGAACCTTTCTGGAAAATATGCACTTGCAATCATCAATTCTATGGGTATTGTAGCAAATACAAATTTGTTTTATTATAATTAAAGCAAAATGTATTTGTTCAAATATGTACTTCAGTGAAAGACTATTTTGGTACTAATGCCCATACATTGCCCCTCATTGGTGTTTTTTTTTTGTCCTCTTTTAAGCATTGTCATCATCTGCACTCTATCAAGAACTCTTGGAAAATGAAAAGAAGAACTTCCACTTAGTAACGACTGCAGTTGTGGAGCTTGGAGGTGTCCCAGCTATGATTCGTCACCTAGATATGTCCAATACCATACCAGATGAAAAGGTAAAGTTCTGAGTTAAATTTTCATAGGAAACAAAATGTATTGCTTTAAGGAATGAAAGGATAAAACACTTTCATGTTTAGTTCTGAAATTTCTCTGCTATGGGAGCTTTGGATTGGGAACTTCCATGCTACTACTTTAAAAAAAATAATGTCTTCTATGTAACCGCTCTCATGAATTGAACCAAACATTTTTGCGTGCAAAGCTTTGTGTGTGTGATCATGCCTGTTCTTACACTCTTCACAGGTTGTTATTGCCTACCTTTCATTTCTTTGTGCACGTCTTCTTGATCTTCGGAAAGAAACGAGAGCTGCCAGACTAATACAGGCTGCCTGGAGGAAGTACAAAGTAAGCCGTGAGCTTCAGATTTTACAGGTATAGTAATGCCATTCCTGTGTTGCCTACTGAAAAAAATTCTCATCTTAGCTAAGGTTTGTGCTCCTTTTTATATGGGTTTAGCATTAGGTGAGGAGCACTTTTATGTGGATGCCCATTTCAATCATCGCTTGGGTAACTGGAACTATGAAGCTTATTGTTGAGACTTGAGACAAATGAGTCACATAAGTTAAGATCCTACGTTGGGAAACTTTACTTTTACTGTGGCAATGTCTAGAGATAGGAAACTTATTATTTTCAGTGTGAATTGAAACTATTTACCCCTTTAAGCGGTCTACATTTGTCAACCTTCAAAATTTACATCTGAGCCATTTATCTTAGGTGAGAAACCAGGCTGCCTGTGTTATTCAAGCAGCCGTGTGCCGATTCCTCTACCGACAGCATTTCAAGAAGAAAACCAATGCAACTATTATTATCCAAGCCCATTGGCAAGGTTATGTGGCAAGGAGGAAAGCCAAACAACTGCGGATGACGAAGGTGCAAGCAGTGCAAAATGCAGCAGCAACAGTTATTCAGGTTTGTCTAAAATTTTTAGTGTGTGACGGGTTCACATTTTGTAGTATGTTCAAATGAGAAATCTCTCCAACTATGATCAATATCTGACTTGAATATGCTATGCCTGTTTTGTCATAGTGAGCTGTTGCAGTAGTTTTATAAATATAGGCAAGAGTGATGAGATATAGACCAGTTTTCATTACTTTACAACTTGAATTCCATAAAGTAAAAGGTTGTACGACTATTTCTCTATATCTGTGGGAAGTCACTACTTTTGAATAGAAGAGTCAGAGTTGAGCTGGCCCTCTCTGGCATTCTTTTTAGTCCGGTCCCTGAGCCAAGCGGGTCTGCAGTATTCCAGGGCACTGTTGATGATAGTACAGCCAGCCAGGCTCATCGGCAGGACTTGGTAGAGCAGACTAATCACTGGGGGCAGCTCCTGTTAACCCTGCAAGCCAAAGCCCTAATGGATACAGTCGTCCTAGCTGGAGAAGCAATGGGGAACGCTTACCAAACATTGCTCTCAATGACGAGCTATGCAGTTTTAGCTGGTTAGACTGGTTTTAGCAATACTCTTAACACACCATCTGGGGTGCCCAAGCCTTGGCTCTTGCCAACCCGCACCTAATATTTTCTGGAGTTAGGTAAGCAAGTTGTGTCCCTCCAGGGAGAGAATGTACATTCCAATAAATATCTCTGGAAGTTCCATGTGTAGGCAAGATGCACAAAACTATGTTTTCTTTGGATACTCTTAAGCATGGTGACGGGTTTCTGCATGTGTCCGATACCTGGCTGTTCAAAAGAAGAAACACCAATTTGCTGAGCAAACTTGTGATGGATGTGTATCTGCTGTTATGGAATCCTCTTTATGATGCTGGTTGTTTTTAGGATTCTTGTATGGACATGATGCCATCATTGTTTTAATATGATTGTTTTGATATGTAGCCACTGCGTATATTCATATTCATTTTGCTTGCTGTGTTTATTATTAACAGACTCATTGGCGAGGATACAGTAGTAGAAGACAGTATCAAAATTTACTACACTGCTGCATTCTTATGCAAAAACACATAAGGAGGAAGATTGCAGTTACGTCTTACAGGCAAATGTTACGGGCAACTGTTGGTCTTCAGAGGTGTTTCAGAGCACATTTGCTAGGGTCATCACAGAGAAGAGAGTATTTGAAATTAAAATTGTCAGCTATCGTAATACAGGCTGCATTTAGAAAGTGGAGTGCTTGCAAACTGGAAGCAACAATCAAAGCTTCTATAATTCTGCAGAAATATATAAGGGGTTTCCTCTGTAGGAAACAATATAAAAAGTATCAGAAGTCCATAACTTTGATTCAAGCATTTGCTAGAGGATTTCTAGTGAGAGCTAAAATGAGCAGTAGAAAAAATGCTGCCATTATAATACAGAAATACATGAATGCATACTTAGCAGGGAAACAAGACTATGTTTCTTATCACAGACTTAAATGGGCAGCAATTGTATTTCAAGCTGCTTACCGTGGCTTAAAGGTGAGAAATACATATCGCCAAATCAAGTCGGCTATAGTAATCCAGTCTTTGTTTAGAATGCACCTGCAGAGAAAGAAGTTTGTTGCCATTCAGAAAGCAGCAGTCACTGTACAGTCTTCAGTGAGAATGAAATTGGTTCGAATCTGGTTCCTTAAGTACCGACAAGCTGCCATCACTGTACAACGGCATTATAGAACCAAAGAGCAGGGGAGGAAAGAAAGACGGCGTTATGTACAGCTTCGGCAGGCAACAATAACCATACAAGCAGCTTTTAATAGATGGCAAACCCAAAAGTGGATTAGGAAAAACCAATCTGTGATTGCCATACAATCTTGGTATCGAATGTGCAGAGAAAAACGAAGCTATTTGCATCAAAGAAGAAGCTGCATTAGAGTCCAGTCTTGGTATAGGTGCTGCAGAGCTAAACAAACATTTCTCATTGTGAAAAGGTCAGCACTGTTCATTCAGGAATATTACAGAGCTTACCACCGAGGTAAAGCACAAGTAGAAAAGTATCAATCAATTCGTCAAGGTACAATAACTATTCAAGCTTACTTTCGAGGTATGAAGGCTCGTCGATTAGTCAGGAAAGTGAAAGCTGCTTATATCATCCAATCATACTGGCAAACAAGAAAAGAAAGACTTGTGTATTTGCATCGTAGGCAATGTGTCATTATGCTACAAGCTCATGTCAGAAGGTGGCAAGCTCAACTACAGTACAAAACAATGAGGACTGCAGTTTGTATATTGCAAGCGCATGTCAAGGCCCTTTTAAAACAGCGAAAGGCTCAATCAGAATACAAAGCGATGCGTTTTGCAGCTATTGTGTTACAGTCTAATTACAGAGGAAGACTAGCACGAAGACAACTTTCCCTATTAAGGTCAGTTGTAAAAATCCAATCTGCTTATCGTGCATATGTTGTGCGAAGAAGATTTAGTCAAATTAAAAAAGCTGCCATAATAATTCAGGCTTATGTGAAAATGATCCAGGTACAAAAACGCTACAGGTCCCTTAAAAACGCAGTAGTCTATCTCCAGAGGTGTTACCGTGCCAACAAATTGTGCTCACAAAAACACAAGGAATATATAAGAAAAAAGGAAGCTTGCATTTGTCTTCAGTCTGCTGTCAGACAGTATCTAATAAAAAAGCAGATGCGTTTGTGGAGACAAGCTGCAATTAGAATTCAGTCTAAATTCAGAATGCATCGACAAAGGCGTCAATATCTCAGAATCTATTGTGCTGCAGTTATAATTCAAAGAGGATACCTCGCATACAGCCAAGGGTTTTGTCAAAGGCAGAAATTCCTCAGAATCAGAGAGGCAGCAATATGTTTACAGGCAGCTTATAAAGGGTACATGGTACGCAAAATTATTAAGTTGCACTGTAAAGCTGCCATCACTCTCCAGGCAGCTTTCAGACGACGTGCTTTAAGGATTAAATACCAAGCTATGCAAAATGCAAGCATTGCAATTCAAAGATGGTACAGGACCTGCAAAGTTGGACAACAGCAACGAGCTGAATATCGTAAAATTAGATCTGGAACCATTCTTCTTCAGGCATTATATCGTGGGTTTTCTACAAGAAAAAAGATAAAAGTGCAACATGAGGCAGCAAAAACTATTCAAACTGCTTTCCGTAGGTTCCGAGCGCAAAAGCAGTTTGCAATGTTGAAGGATGCAGTGCTAACTATTCAACAATATTTTAAAGCAAAATTAGCAGGGGACAAGCAGCGTCAAGTATATCTGAGATTGTGCCAGTCAGCAGCGGTTCTTCAGGCAGCTTATAAAGGAATGCTTGTAAGGAAGGAAATTAAAAGAAAGCGACAGGCTAGTATTGTTATACAGTCCTATTTTAGAATGCACCAAATGTGCACAAAATTTAAGTCGTTGAAATCGGCAACACTAGTAATACAGGACCGATTCAGAGCTTACTTACAAGGGAAACGGCAACGTCAGAGGTACCAGAAAATGAAGAATGCTGCTGTACTTTTGCAAGCTGCCTTTCATGCAATGAAAGCCAGAAAAAAAATGAAAGAAGTTCAAAAAGCAGCTTCTATTATCCAGACAGCATTTAGATCTTACAATACTAGAAAACGATACCTGTCTCTCCAAGCAGCTTCTACTTTACTGCAAAGGAAATTCCGAGCTTTGCTGCTGGCTAAGCAGCAAAGAAAACACTATCTTTGCATACAGGGTGCAGTTTTGACTATACAGTCTGCATACAGAGGCATGAAAACAAGACAAGAGATTCTGCATATGCACTGGGCAGCCACTGTAATACAGTCTACATTTAGAATGCACAAGGTATACATTCCGTATCAGGCAACAAGACTGGCAGCGATTATAATACAGGTCCACTACCGAGCTCATGTTGAAAGTAAAGCTGAGCGTGAAAATTATCTGAAGATACGCCATAGTGTTGTGGTTCTTCAGGCTGCGCTCCGAGGAATGAATGTTCGAAAACATTTGAGTTGTATGCACAAGTCTGCAACTGTAATACAGGCTTCCTATCGTATGCATCGGCAGCGCTACTGGTACAAGAGGCTATATTGGGCAGCAGTAGTGATACAGCAACAATACCGAGCTTGTAAAATAAGAGATGCCTGTGTCCAGCAATATACCAACGTGAGGAATGCAGTCATTTGCATTCAGACTGCTTTCCACAGTATGAAAACTAGACAAGAGATTCAGAGACTCGAACAAGCCATAATAGTTATTCAGGGAAGGTTCAGAGCTTACAACGAGCGAAAAAAGTATCTTGCTCTTAAAGATGCTGCTACTACAATTCAGCAACAATATCGTGGGCTCCTGCTTGCTAGAATACAGCGCCAACAGTACCTTTCTGTACGGAACGCAGCTATCTGTTTTCAGGCTACTTACAGAGGCAAGAGAATGAGACAAGCGGTTCGGAGCATGCACTTGGCAGCCATTGTAATACAGTCTACATTTAGAATGCACCAGGTATATGTTTCGTATCAGGCAACAAGGCTGGCAGCGATTATAATACAGGTCCGTTACCGAGCTCACGTTGAAGGGAAAACTGAACGTGAAAATTATCTGAAGATACGCCATAGTGTTGTGGTTCTTCAGGCTGCGCTCCGAGGAATGAATGTTCGAAAACATTTGAGTTGTATGCACAAGCCTGCAATTTTAATACAGAGTTTCTATCGGATGCACAGACAGCTCTATTTGTACAAGAGGCTTTGTTGGGCAGCAGTAGTGATACAACAGAGATATAGAGCTTGTAAAGTCAGAGATATTCAGGTGCAACAATATGGTAGGATGAAAAAGGCCATAGTTCATATTCAAGCTTTATACCGTGGGAAAAAAGCTCGAAGATTGGCTCAAAGAATTAAGTCTGCTCATCTGATTCAGTCATTCTTGCAAATGTGTGTAGCAAGAAAACTATTTCTGCATCAAAAGTCATCTGCAATAATACTTCAGGCTACATTCCGTGGCTACCGGGCAAGAGTGCACTATAGAACTGTGCGAAATGCTGCAGTTTCTATCCAGCACTGGTACAGAGCCTGCAAAATGGGACAATCGCAACTTATAGAATTTCAGGCCATGAAACGTGCGGCGATTAGTATTCAGGCTGTCTACAAGGGTGTGATAGCTCGGAGATGGTACAAACAGAAACGTGCTGCTGTTAAGATTCAGTCAGTTCTTTGTATGATGATGCATCGGAAGAGATTTCTCCAAATAAAATCTGCAGCGATTTCAATCCAATCTCAATATCATGCCTACAAAGCTAGAAAACTATACAAGAGTTACAAAGGCGCAGCTGTGATATTGCAGAGACATTTTAAGTCCCACCTGATGAGGAAAGAACAGAGGTTAGCTTACCTGACAATGCAACAGAAAATTATTTTTCTTCAATCTGCAATACGAGGATTTATTGTCCGAAGAAATTATGAAAAACTTCAAAAAAGCACAAAAAAAATTCAGGTAAGACTTGCATTATTTTATGATTTTAATCCTTACATTTGATATAGCGCCTTTGACGTCCACAAAGTGAAATGACTATTCTGTGGGCGGACATGGCAGCCAATTTGTGCACAGCAATTTTTTTTAATTTTAAAGTGGTTACAGTAGTTTGATTAGCACATAATTATAAGAATCCTATCATTTACTTTAAATAGTTTGATGTAGCTATTTTCATTTGTATCACAACTAGAATTTTTTTATATTTTAAAAGAATGTGGAAACAGTGTATGGCGAGCTTCTGATTCAGACGCAAGAGTGCTACCAACTGAGTCAGATTGAAACTTTTTGTGTCGTTTTTGCCTCTTATATCCATCTCTTATATTGTATTGATTCAAATTATGTTTCTTTTTTAAATCACTTATTTATAGGCTTGTTATCGTAAAGCTAAAGACAGAAAAAGGTTTCTCCTTTACAAGAAAGCTGCATCTGTGATCCAGCAGAATTTCAGGGCTCATTGTCAAAGAAATGTTGAACAACAAAAATATCTTCAAATGAAGCATGCTACTGTTGTAATCCAGGTATTTCTTTGGGATTTCTAAATCTTTTTTATGCAGTCTCTTAATAATAATCCTAAAATTAGTCAGCTAAATGATAGAATGTTACAGCATAGAACAAGGCCATTCAGCTCAAGTCTGCACTGGTATATTATTCCTCAAACTCACATAATCTAATCCCATTTTCCTGCTCGTTCCCCACACCCTTTTGATCTTTTTTTCAAAGTGTTTAATTTCATTTTCAAAGAATGAATTATGTATATTTGCAAGTTATGGAAATTATACAGTAGTCCTTAAGTTTCCATGGAATCCTAATCTGACACAGTTTCTATTTAGTCTTTTATATTAGTGTATTATAACCCTCCCCCCACCACCACGATATTGTTTTGTCAGGATACACCTCGTTACATTTTTTCTGCTTCTAATGATCTTAAAAAGTTAGCCATGTGGCGGTATTGAAAGAGATTGTGAAGGGGTTGTACCTTGCTTCTGAATCAAAAATCTAAATAAAAAAAAATCTCTCTGCTCTATTTCCCCTTATTGGTATATTGTCACTTCCTTGTGACTTCATTCACTAGTATTTAATTATGAAAATTTGTTAATTTCTCCTGTCTTCACTGTCGTCTTATGTAATTTTCATTTTAGGCTTTATTCCGTGGTCATCAAGCAAGACAACTAGTTAATAAAATGCAAGCTGCACGAAAAATCCAGGCTTGGTTCAGGGCTTCTGTTGTACGTAAGCGATACAAGGCTATGCTTAAGTCAGTTGCATTCATCCATGGGCAATTCAGAATAAAACAAGAAAGATCCCGGTAATTGAGCCTCCAAGTGTGAATTATTGATCATTTGTAATTTATCCTCAATGTTTTATGGAAATAATTTAATTCTCTATGTAAGGCTCTGCATTAAATGTAAGTATTATTTTTAGTTTCCTAAAGGTGCGGACTGCAACAATAACTATTCAGCAGGGATGGAGAAGGACAATTGAAGCAAGAAGACTGCAGTATGAATACCAACGAAAAAGAACTGCAGCAGTTAAAATCCAGGCCTTTTGGAGAGGATTCAAAACAAGGAAACAGATAATCCAGGTAATTAATTTGTATGAATGATACTGACTGCAGCATCGGAACTGGCTATGTAACTCAGCTAGTCTGTGCTAGTGATTGTAGTCTACATGAACTCCTCCTAATTGCTTCTTTATCACCTCCCATATACCACTTCTCCATGTTTGCAATTTTATCATTTTAAACAAACTATCCAATAACTAAGTTGTGCTAATTACCTTAGAATGTACCCAAAGCAAAATTATTTTAGCTAATGAAAACATAATATTGAATGTTAAAAATACAATTTGCTCATACAAGAATTGACTTCATTCCTAATTGGCATTGTTGATGGAGAGGGGTGGCGCAACAAATGCATAGTTCACTTCAATTTTTCTCATTGTGGTTCCAGATGCAAAAAGCTGCTTGTCAAATTCAGCATGAATATCGAGGGTATAAGGAAAGAAAGAAGTTCCTGGGGCAGAAATTAGCTGTTCTAGCAATACAGAGACTCTTCCGGGCATGGCAGCTTGAAAAAAATGAAAAACTGAAACATGAGAAGAGGACAAGGGCTGCAGTCATCTTGCAGGCTGTATGGCGTGGATTGCGAGTACGAAAGGAGGTATATGACCAGTGCAATGGAATCCTTGAAATAAATTTTATTGAAGTAGATTTTCACTGATTTTGGAGATGAGCTTTTCCTCGGTTCTAACCGAGGCTTAATTTTTGCTACAAAATGCTGTGGTGCAGTTCAGCCAGATTATCGCCTGAAATGATATTGGTGACGACAATCTTAAGAGTGACAACAATATCAAGATAAAAGTTAAGAATATGTTTTGCAGAGAATATTCATGCTGACTGACGAGCTATGTTAGAGAGGGAATGTTTAAATAAATAGATCAGAAGATATCCATTTAAATACTCATTCTGTAGTTAAATTAGGGGGAGTTTTTTTCATTTATTCATCTCTATATGCAGGTTGCAGAACAACAATTTGCTGCAAAAAGACGTTGTTTTACCGCTGCTGTCTACCACCACCTTTGTGCAGTTAAGATACAAAGAACATACCGATCTTATGTGGCTCTTAAGTTTGCAAAAGAGAAGATCAAATCGGTCATCTGTATCCAGGTAATAAGAAAAGTTGACCGTTTAACTGAATTATCTATATCTAAATTAACAGTACAAATGCACAAGTCACTACAAAGTAAAATCCTGTGAAGTCCTGTACCCTGTCTCAAGGGCATGATTTACATTTTTATAGTGCCTTTCATGTTTGGTAGAATGTCTTGAAGTACTTCATTCTGAAGGCTTGTCCACTGTTCTTGGAGTGGTTAGAGGATGGGGAGCAATTGAAGATGAGTGAGAATGGGGTAATGGTCGGTCAGAGTCTGGTGTGTGCAGAAGAGGACACTGGGCTACAGAATTTTGGATGGAGCTTGCGTAGGAAGACCTGGGGAAGAAGGCGTTACCGCTATCAGGGCGTTTACCTTTTAAATGCACTAACACATAATTAATAGCAATCCTCATTTTTCTTGAAGAATACAAGTATATTATCAATTTGCTGTCAATATACTGATTCTGAGTAACTATTTCTCTTGTACACCATTGTCTCTTGTACTATATTAAGTTCCATGTCTGTTCAAAGTCAAATGTAGCTTATGGAAACGTTTCCAGACATATTCCCAAGTATACAAATACATTGCAGCAGAAACATTCTTGCACATGCAAGCATAATATGCATATGAATTTTAAAAATATCTTGTCCTGTCCATGCATACAAGTTAATTATGTCACCTATTATATCATTTGAATTTAACGTTCCTTGTTGACCTCCAAATTAATCAATGAGCAGCAGAAAATATGCATATAAATATTGCACGTTGCTTACTCAACCATTTTTTCTAAATCTACCCTCCATTGTAGCGGTGGTTTAGAACCTATCTTCAGCGTTGCAACTACCTGAAAGAACGACAACAAATCATTGCAGTGCAGAGAACTGTGAAAATCTGGCTAAAGCGTCGTAATAAAGCTGCTGTAGTTATCCAGCAAGCTGTACGAAGGTTTCTTGACAAAATGTGGAAAAAAAGATTCTGCAGGAGAATAACAACAATTCAGGTATTGTGGTGCTGGAAATGTAAAATGTGTTTTATTTATAAATTGTATTTAATTATATTTTTGTTTCTTCATGATTCTTTGAATTTTGCAAATATCACATTGAACCTTATTTTATGTGATTTTTGATAGTCTGAAAAAAATCTAATATAGAAGCAATAAAACTGACTTACAGAGCAGATGCATATTATACAATAAAATGTTAGTGGGAAGGAAATGCTAACAAAACCTGAATTTCGGATTTTGTAGGCAATGTGGAAAGGATACTACCTGCGCAAGAAGATGGCCAATCCTAGGATAATTGCTATAAGGTGTCGCATCCAACAGGCTACTGAAAAGAGTTCTGAGGAACAGAAATTGGGCAACCGAACAGCTATTGCTCTGAATTACATTCTAAAATACAAGCATTTTTCCTGGATCCTTGCAGCTTTACAACATTTAGGTTTGCATCTTTTAACTTTTGGTTAACGTTTTTTTCTTGCACAATATCCAAAATAAATGCTGATTTAAATTGCATTTTGAAATACAGGAATCATCTTGCTCTTTCTAATCTGAATTAAATGTGCTGGGTGAGATTCATAACTCATTAAACAATCAGAAGCATAATTTTTTTTATTATTGTGTATAAGTGTAGAAATTTCAGTCTATCTGGCTATTCATCATTCCCATTTGCCTTTGTTCATTTTATTCCTCTCTGGATTGAAGAAATGTTCTCTGGGTTTGTTTTTAGCAAGCATATTTTAAATCCCAGAAATATGTTTTTGTTTTTCCTTTAGAAGTTGCAACGAGACTCTCTTCGCTTTGTTGTGAAAATTTTGCTAAAAGTGGAGCTACACCAATCATTTTTACTTTGATCCGGAGTTGTAATCGGAGTGTGCCTTCTATGGATATCATTAAATATGCGATTCAAGTACTCCTCAATGTTTCAAAGGTACTGCTTGAAATCTAGTCTACTTCAGGAATGGTGTTGAAGTTCTGATTGGTCTGAATCACAAATATATCTTGTATGTTTTATGGGTTTTGGTATGAAATTTTTGGTCAAACGGTATCTTGTGTTGTGAAGGACTAGTCAATGTGCAAGAACACTTTGCTTATATCTAATTGAATAACATTTAATAAGTTAAAATTGAAACATTATTATTCACCTAGTCTCTTTTTTAAAATGTGTTCTCTGAAATTCTTTGTGATGGCCAGCTGAGTAGGGTTGGTTATTTATGTGTTGTTCTACCTATTGTACTGCTGTTCTAACCATAATGCTGACCAAAAAAATATTCAGATGTAACATAACAGAATTTCGGGCCAAAATCTAGTTAATCATTGAACGTTGCACTTGTGTTTCTGGAATTAAGTTATAAGAAATGGAATAGATTTCTTCAGCGCTTTCTGTGCTTCAAAGCTCTGTATGGGTTGCAACAAGTACTGAAGATTCGTGGGGAAAATAAAATTTTGGACCTGGATACAGTGTTTTCACCAGGTGCTGGTTAACTTTGGACGTCCGGTAAATCAAACAAAATGCCCAGCCCTGATTCATTTGTGTTCCTACCTGTTTTATATATAAAATATATATTAATTCGGCCGAAAATCCAGTTACTCTGGGCAAAATGTCAGCTGGTCCCCGCTGACTCCATCCGGGATGTAGATAGGAAGACTCAAATTGCAATTGACAGCAGACTCCAGACATTCACAGGAGGCTGGAATTGTGCGGTTAATCAGTCAGGGGTCATTGGAACAAGGAAGAACAATGGAGGGAAATCGCAATACATCGACAGCTGAGATGCTTGTGAATGGGTGGACCCTATCCATTTAGAAGTGGCTGCAGGCTGTCAATCACTTTGCAGCTACCACTAATTGGTTCCCTTCCCGTCCGATGGGAACAGCAATGAGAAGTAGAGCTGAGTGTCATCCGCATCCATGTGGAAGTTAGCCCTGTGTCTGCGGATTACATCACTGAGAGGGAGCATGTAGAAGGAGGCCGAGGATAGAGCCTTGGGGTAACCTGCTGGTGACAAAATAAAGTATTTGTTGAGCTCTAATTTTTGTCCCTTTTTATCTATGTTTTATTTATTATTGACCTCTGAATAATTGTTCTTTTTTTTATTTACTTCTAGTATGAAAAAACGTCTGGAGTGGTGTATGAAGTGAAAAACTCTATTACTATATTGATTGACCTGTTGCAAATGTACAGAGAGAAAGCTGGTGACAAAACTGCAGACAAATGTGGCAGCATTTTCACAAAAGTCTGTTGCTTACTTTCCATTCTGTCTCAGGATTCACAGAAGGCCTTGGTAATTTTTACATTGTACAGTTAATTGGTAGAAAGTTAGGTATTAAACTTTTGAATAGAAATAGTTGTACTTTTAATAGATAACACAAAGCTTGATCTAAGTGACAATCCAAGACCGACTGCAAAAGAGCTACCATCAGCTGAAAAATTGGTCCACTGAACATAACTTTTTAAATCTAATTTCATAAATATAATTTCATAGACTTTTCCCACTTAATTAACCCTGCAAACCAAAGAACTAATGAGTAGGGTGGTCCTAGCTCGACAAGCAGCAGGAAAGCTTACCAGACAATGCTCTCAATAGCATACTGTGTGGTTTTAGTTGGTTAGACTCTAGCTGTACACTCTGGGATCCCCAACCCTTCCTTTTGGCAACATCACCTAATACTTCCAGAATTAAGTAAGCAGGATGTGTCCCTCCATCCCCACAGATACCTATGGAATTTCCATGTAAAGGATGGATGCACGGAACTATGTTTGGTTTGAATATTGTTTAAGCATGGTGATGGGTTTCTGCATGTGTCCATTTCAATGTATGACTTAACAATTGTATTGTTAAATTGCAGGTGCGTTAGTCATAATTTTCCAAAATCTCTATTTGGGAATTGTGCCCTTGGATTGGAAAATTGCAAATGTCACTCCATTATTTAAGAAGGGAGGGAGAAACCAGTGAACTACAGCCCTGTCAGCTTAACTACAGTTGTGAGGAAGTTACTGAAATCTCATCGGGGCAGAATGACTAAGCATTTGGATACGTATGAGCTTATCAAAGAGATCACTAACATGTGGATAAGTATGTCTATGGACATCATCCACATGGACTTCCAGAGGCATTTGATAACGTTCAGTGCAAGATGTTATTAGCAAAAATAAAAGTGCATGGAACCGGCTTGGTAATTGTTTGGGAGGCAGGAAACCTAGAGTATGGGTAAAATTGAACTTTCTCTGATTGGCAGGACGTGACAAGTGGTGTTCCCCAGGGATCTGTGCTGGGGCCTCAGCTTTTCACCATATATTTATAAATGACTAGGATGAAGGAATAGGGAGCTTTGTATCCAAATTTGCAGACGACACAAAGGAAGTTACAAAGGGACTTAAACAGATTAAGTGAGTAGGCAAAACTGGCAGGTTGAATTCAATGAGGTCATCCATTATGGATCCCAAAATAATGTTACCCAAGAGAATTCTAGATCCCAAAATATTATATATATATTATAATATGCAATTCCAAGTTCTGGAAGTTGCATGAGTGGCACTATGTTGGATCAGTAACAGAGAAGAGAAGCAAGTATGCTTGTGCATGGGTAATGACTCTGTGCTGTGTGTGTGTGTCTCTCTCGCTCTCTCTGAGAACACTTAGAAAAATATAGTTCTGGATTAACTTGATGCATTGTCCAATATTTTTTATATTATTGCTTCAGGAGGTTCGAAGCATGCCGAGAGCACAAGATCGTATTCATACTATATACAAGTTAACTCTGAGAAAACACAAGATGGATACTGATAGAGAAATTAAACAGAGGTTGAATGATCCTCTCAGTGGTAGTTTCTTTATTCCAGCTACCCCTGTAAGAACTAAAGTAGTTTCCAGGTAAGAATATATTTATGAACATTTGCTGTCAATGACATCTGTATATCTGCTTCTTCCTGAACTTTTTAAAAACTATTTGCTCTTTATTTGTGTGTTCCAGATTAAAACCTGACTGGGTCTTAAGGAGAGACAACATGAAAGAAATTGTGGACCCTCTAAAAGCTATTCAATTGGTTATGGATACCCTTGGAATTTCCACTAACTTGTAAATAAAATTGATGCAGGGCACCACTTTTAATACTATCTCTTCCCGCCCCCTCCCCCACTTTAAATTTGGGGCAGGTTTGCTTCATAGCAATGGTGACCTATTGACTTGAGCTAACTGGAAATTTGGTACGCCTTAATGCCGACAATGACAAGCCAGTTCTCACGCAAAAAGATGTCTGGCCTCCGGAGGACCACTGACATTGTTTCCTGTGTAAAAAAAGAAGTGATGTCAGTGGCGCTTTGTGCATAGTATGCTTATGATGTAACTGATGGCCCAGAAGTCGGCAATTTTTCTGTGTTTTGATAATGTGGCAGATAAGGTTGGAGCCAGATGACTGTTTTAACTGGGGTGCCCCTGTAGTTTTGAGTTCAGGCTGTTTTATGAATGAAACACAACTTGTCTTAGTTTTTTTGTAAAAAAAATACAATTACTGTATACAAAATTCAGAAACTGAGATGATACTGCATATTGTTTGCGAATTTTAGTTGCATTTGTTTTGTTCCACCTTGTTTGGTTCCTGTATATGTTGAACAGCATGGCTAAAGATGGCTGTTATTTCTAGTCGCATCTCTCATTTTTGTAAAGTGTTCTGTAGATTTGTTGCTTATTTTTTTCTTATTGCAGTTTAATAACTTCTCCTTGGTTATTTTGAAACATTGTATCCCAAGTTGAAATTACTTGTAGTGTATTGGTTAAAGAAGTAAGAGGAACTGGATTCGATTCCCTGGCAGAGCGAAACGTTAGGCAAGTGTCTGTTTACCTCGCAGTAAGTAGGAACCCAGTTAGTTTATTGGCAGATCTCTTTGCCGGGGTAATCATCCCTTCAAAATAAATAAAATTAATAATTTGGTCACTTAATCACCGACTGTTTGTGTGACATTGCTGTGCGCAATTGGCTGCGGCATTTTGCCCACAAAGTATATAGTCAATTCACTTTACAGTATATTCTGTGAAGTGCTTTGAGACGTGAGAAGGCACTAAATCAAATACAAGAATTATTATTAATACTTGTAAATATGGAGCTCCTTTATTTTTAAATTGTTTTAGTAGATCTTGTAAAAATATTCTTTTGTACAGTTCAAGTATTTTTTTGCAATTTACATTCACNTTTTTCTAAAATATTTTAAGTAAATTACATGATTTTTTAAACATGGAAATGTTTAAACTTGTTGGTGACTTAACTTGCTTCAGTTAATCTTGTAAAACATTCTTCCTTTTTGTTCAGTTCAGATTTATACAAATTTTGTGATTTTTGCATTTTGGAGAACAAGCAAATGTTCACAGGACTGCCTGCAGGTTCAAAGACAGAGTTCTACCTCATGCACAATTAAAATATTTTCATGTTAGAGCCAGGAATATTCCTTGTATTCAATTAAGTTTCCTCATTCCAACTGTGCAAATGGTTTTACTACTCCAGATAATTTGAAATCAAGATCTTGCCTTCTGACTTGTCAGCACTCTAGATTGTGACTAGGTTTTTGTTACATTGGGCTTGATAGATGGTAAGCCTTTTCTGGTCTTATATATTGCTCTGATCTGAGGAGCTACTCATTTATGCTAACCTTTTGGCTTGATTTTAATTTGAATTCGCTTTTCCTATCAAAACAAATTGTGGTTGGACCTTGGACAAGTGCACTGTCCAACCACAATTTGTTTGATAGGAACCAACTGAAATGGCACCAGTATTGACTGATGACATTGATGTTATTCCAAGGCAGCTGGGTTTGCTCTGCTGGCCAAGGAGGTGACTGCTCATTTAGTGATTTTCAAGAAATTAATTTCATGTTGCTATATAATGTGGGTAAATAAACTTGGGTCTACAATGCAGTAGTGTTGTGTTGATGATTGTTTACTTAATCTTGTGGAAACTCAAAAATATAGTCACTAATTTTAAACTATTGTAGCTTTAACAATCAATTAATATGATCGAATTAGGAATTTGGAAAATGATTAACTGACTCCAATGTAACAACCAAGTACGATGGATTGAAATAAATATCAGCTTTATCCATTATCAATGGGCCTTGGTTGTATTTAAGAACATATGGGCTGTGTCCAATGGGTCTGTCCTTTTTTAAATATATGTATATATCCATCATTACCATTTTATTAGTTATACAGTATATGCATATATACTACAAAAGGTGAGCCTTGCCTAGAAGAATCATAAACTAATAGTCTTGTGGGATTTTCTGCATGTCAGTGTGTGGCAACTAGTGATGTGTTGTTCCACTGCTGCCATAACATTTGCAAAGGAAGATGTGTTTCTATCTGGCCTTGACAATGAGCTCAAAGGTTTCAGGTCTTGAAACCATGACCTTCATAAGTCCAGAGATCTACCAACTTGAATTGGATCTACGAACGGAAAATACTAGATTCCAATTCTGGTGGGAATCATTCAGGTTTTCATTCTTTAAAATCAATATCCTGTCTTAAATAAGTGTTTCATGGGGGGACGTTATGGATTGTTGACGCACCTTTCGCTTATTAATGAGCCTTGGAGGTGAAGATATCACCAAAACATAGCAAGGAAAATTGCTAACAGATGAGGTGGAGTCAGCTGAAAAGTACTGCATATTTCCAGCTGACTCTATGGAGTCCTGTATCTCTGGTTAGAGCACCCGCCTCACAAGGGAGAAACCTGGACTCAATTCCTGGCAGGGCGAAACTTTGGGCAAATTTCCTTACTCCTCAAGAAAGAAAACAATAAATTGGTCACTTCACTCCACGACTGCTGTGTGCAATTGGCTGCCGTGTTTTGCCCACAACATTTACAGTCAATTCACTTTACAGTATATTCTGTGAAAAGTGCTACATCCAATGCAAGGATTATTATATTTAACTTTTACTGTAAGCTGCGGTAACACAGTCATTTATTTGGATTTGGCAAAGGTAGCAACCATGCTGTGATGAGCACTATATACAATGTAGCATGGTTGTATAATATAAGCAAGATGGATTAATTATGCAACTGACAGGAGTCATTGACAATTAGAGTAAAATACTAATGTCAATATCATTATTTTAATAATTTTCTTCTGCAAAATTTGCAAATGTATATAATCAGCAGCTTTTCTCTAAGATTTTTGCGGGAAGGTGAATGGTATTCCTCATGGCATTGTGCCTTCGTCCTGGTACTGCAAATATATAATGTTTCTTTTTGCAATTAATATATCCTACATTCGGGTCTTGTGCGCACAATTTAAAGGAAAAAGCATTAGAACTGAGCAGAGATATTTGGGGAAAGGAAAACATTGCGCTGCAACTAAAAATTTAAATCTACGACTTTCCCGTTCCCATTTAAAACTTACATTTAGTATCTTTATTCAAAAATATCATTTGTTGATTGTAATAAACTACAGATGTTAACATACAGTCATTCTTGAGAGTAACAAACCAAGAAGTATTTGTGGTGCCACAAATGTGTCTAATGAATTGTATAATAATTAAGTTTTTTAATAGTATATTAGAATATTCATTTAAATTAATCTTTTACTTCTATAGCAAATAATGTATAAATTGACAATGTTTTATTCGGAGTCCCTCAGGGTAGTGGTGAGCATGCTGGATGGAGCAAAATATTAGGCAAGTTTTCTTACTCTACATACGTCTTGCAGTAAGCAGGAACCCGGTTCTTAGTTGATTGGCGGATCTCTTTCTGGGGGTAGTAATGCTCTTTTTTTCTCCTGAAAAAAAAAGGTCATTTATTCCATGACGGTTTTATGGGACATTGCTGGAGACGGTGTTTAACAATGACACATTACATTGGGAAGACGTCCCAAGGTGCTGGATAGTTAGTGATTTGGACCTGAGCTGCGGGTTGGACGGTAGGGGTAGCAGGGTGACCGAAGGTGAAGTCGAAGAGATTATAATTATTATTACTATAAAAGAACCTTAACTTCTCTATAATGGCTCTTACCTGTCTAGATTTCCATTGTTTTCATTACATACGAGTTATGTCATTAAATTGAATGCTGAAATTTCCACTAAATGTAACATTAAATGTGAGCTGTAAGAGAATATTAGAATATAACCAAACAGAAAATTAATCTTCAAAGCCAGTAGCAAAGCAGTAAAGACTAACCATAGATCAACCACAAGTGCTTTGACTGGATTTTGCACAAAATATTGATAATAAGTTATTATGAATGCAATTAAATGCAGCCATCACGAATGAAAGGATTGTTGAATTGTACATTTGCTGATCTCTGTCCAAATATTATTTCCAGTGTTACATCAGTGGTTGCTTTCAAAGACAAAACTAAAATTGCGGCATACCTGTTCACTTTTGCCCATCACAGTGAATAAAGCAGGTCGTTGCCCTGTTTCTGCTGTTAACACCAGAGTGGCGGCATCTAAAAAACAAGAGCTTTGTTTACAACTCAACATCAATGTTTAAAACCTAAAAAATTAAAAAGGCTGTGCATCCCATCAAACACATTTGGTCTATTTGGGTTTGCAGACAACCGTCATCCTATTTCAGTAACTTTGCAGACTCATCTGCCCACATCTATCACACCCTTGGTTTATGTTTATACTCGCTACAATTTACATTTATACAGCATCTTTCACTATTTATCCCACATCCAGCTGCCATTAATAAACAATGTGCTAACCTAACCATTTATTTATAGCCATTTGTACAATGTGCAATATACAATACAATTTGCATTTACACAGCCTCTTTCAATTCAGGATGAAGTCTCAAAGCTCTTGACAATGCTGGATGGACACTCAAGCTTGGGGTGGGGAGGAGAAAGATGACCAAAAGCCCAATCAAAGAACTTTTCTCCAAAGAAAAGAAATCTCCACTTCCAATTTGAAAGAGACTTTGAGAACTAGACACAAGGTAGAAACTAATGCCCGAAGATAAAGATGGAATGTTTTATCTAATTTTACAAAATGTGCTAATATCTAAATTATCTGCTAAAATTAAGCTTTAACTGCTAACGTTTCCAGTGCCTTACAATTTGATCTGCTTCCTGCCTCATTTTGCATAAAAGGCCAAATGTAGCAGCAAAGGTGGTATTGTCACTTTGATGACATATAGAAGTATCCTTAGTTTTGACAGAATCATCTGAAAATAGGGCAATAATCAAACAACAAAACCTCAAAAGTTTCCCTACATTTCACTAACATGGTAAGCTTGGTTTGGAATCCCGCTGTCTTTTTGCCCATTGCCCAAAGCTATTCCCACAATGAAAATGAAGAAGTTGGAATGGTAGTAACAATTCCTGCAGCTTTGTAACGTATCTGAATTATTCCCCACTACATTTCATAAATGACACATTGGTAATCGTCTTACCTGGTTTTGATACTGATATGACGTCCCATTGATATTGAACACAGATTATACTGCCTGCACAATTGGGGCATTTCAAGTATTGTAATGGAAAGCAGTCTTCTGTTTCACGATCTGCAGAAAACAGCACAATTTTTCTTTAAGTCACCAGTAGAACATATTTTTATATTTTAAGAAATTTATGAAATAGCATTGGGTCTCATAAACCTGAGTATCATTTAAAAAATATGGGAAGGTAGCTTAGGTGGTAATAGAATAAAACAAACATTTTCCATTCTGATATATTCACATTTAACATTGAGAACATCTCAAAACATTTCACTAAGTTTCTGCAAAGAGTAGTGACTGTGCATTTGTAAATGACCAATTTTATCTGAATGATTGTTGGCCAGAGCACCAAGAAAAACTCCCCTCTCTTTTCAAATAGAGCCATGGGATGTTTAACAAATACTTGAACTGGCAGATGAATCTTCAGTTTAACATTTCATCCAAAGAAAAGCACTTCTGACAATGTAGCAGAGGTTCCCTCAGTAATGCATCGAAATTGGAGGTGAAGAGACAAACCAAACTACTACCTGTGACATTAAACTACTGACATTAAACTTACAAGCTAATTACAAAAATGGAACACTCAGATTGAAGAAATAATAATAATCCTGGCATTTGACGTAGTGCCTTATAACGTTATTGAGATGCCTCAAAGTGCTTCACAGATATACTGTAGGGAATCTATCAATTAGGGCTTGAATCCATAACTTTTCGATTCAGAGATTACCAACTGAACCAAGTTGACACATGTCCTTATTTTGCTGTGATTTTGTTTTTCTATTTAGTTTTTCTACTTAACGTTCATGAAATAATTTATGATATGTCTGCTTCTCACTGTTATATTTAAAAATACTACAGCATAATTTAAGATATTTGTTCAAACAATTTCAGGGCTAGTATTTTAATGAGCAAATGAATAGATTAAATAGTATTTGAAAATTTTATATGAAATAATATTACTGATTAAAGCATCAGCATTACTTACCCCTGTAACATGTGGGAAAGGTCATATGTCCATTGAAGCAATATTGTTTTAGAGAAACCCCAGTTTCAATACTGTGTCCGGCAGAACATATAAATTCTAAATATTCGCCATGTCTGACATACAATTTTGTATTGTTTTGGGATTTTAAGTTAATTTTGTTTGTTTGAAAAATCTTTAGACTGACAACACATGGTTCTAAAGCAGAGAAAAAAAATATATTTAATACAGCTATGGTCATGAGTGCTATTTTTAATAACATTTGAGAATTATCAACATCTTTTCAAGCAGATAATTTAATTACAATAGTTTCAGATGCAAAACTATGTGTTCAACATCCACCTGCCATTAATCACCAACATGACAACTTCAAACCATTTATTTAGTCATTTATAAAATGGACAAAAGACAATACAAGTTAGATTTACGTAGCTACTTTCACGTTGGGAGGATATCTCAAAGAGCGTGACAGTGGTGTCTGGCTGGGCACCTGAGCTGAGGGCGGAGGCTGACTGAGGCTGGGGGGCATGGGTGGGGGTGGGGGTGGTGACAGGCTCAGGAAGCCAGGTGCAGCGGAACCCACAGACTGCAGAGTTAACCTTAAACCAGGAATTATTCAATGGAACTTGAAGGTGGGGTGAATGAATGAACTGGAGTTCATTTAATCACCCTGCCCTCAACCTATCTTTCATACTGAAAAATTTGGAGGTGTTAAAAAAAATCTTTGTCTGTGAATATTTATTTTTCCCGAATGTTTTACTGAATCTAAATCAACATTTATTGATTGTTTTATGTAAGGTTCTTCTGGCAATCTAAGCAAGTAAAAATCTTCCACTATGAATAAAATAACAGGGTGATTGGTAATGCACTTTATTCACAAGCAAAAATAAAACTATAATACTCATTTTAATGTAACAATTATTTTGTTTTAAGTGAATTTAATATACTAGAATTTATTTTTTGTTTCAGAAAATAAACAAATATATTTTGGAAATGAAATATCAGAAACTAACAGCCTCTGGTTTTGCTATAACTTACACATTTTAGTGATTCATCTGTTTGGGATGGCATCTTTCACGTTGGGAGGATGTCCCAAAGCGCTTCACATAATACACAATGAGTTTTATGGGTGAACATGTGCCTATATGCACACAGCGATCCGGCCTTCAGCCTTTCTGCCACCACTCACTGGAAGTCCATCCCTTTGCCTCACCCCATCCCTTGTCTCCTTCAATGCCTGTCTCAAGACCTTCCTCTTTGACTGCACCCTTGGTCATCCTTTCAGCCCCACTCCTCTTGTCCTCACCCCTCTTGATTCCAACTCCCAGCTCAGGTGCAAACCCTTGGCTGTCTGGTGCCTTTGGACATCTTCCCAACATGAAAAGCACTATATAAATGCAATTTACGTTGTTGTTTCATTGGCTTCGGTCAACCTCTCATCCAACAATGCAGCACCACCGAAGCACTGCATTTTGATTGTCAGTTTGGACTATATGAGCTCCAATCCTGACATGGGGCTTAAACCCACAACTTTCTGCTTCAGAAGTAACTACTACCAAATGAGCCAGCCTGACACAATGTCACAAAGTAGGCCAATAGAAAAAGGAAAATATGTAAGTAAGTGTAATCACAGGAAATAAATAATCCTTGCATTTGAAATAGCACCTTTCATTTCAGGAAGAAGTCTCAAAGTGCTTCACATGATTATTGTAAAGTGTAGTGACTGTGTGTTTCTAGGAGAACACGGAAGCCAAGTTGTGCGCAATGTCCCTCAAACAGCCACAAAATGAACAACCAATTTAGCTGCCAGGACAAATGGAGAAACTTTCCTTCTCTATATATTGGATAAACTATCAAATAAAAAAGTGAAAAATCAGAACAGAATACAAAATAAGATTTGAAAATAAAAGTGAAAAGTGAATGCATTTGCACTGTTTTAGAATTAAATCATCGTATGATTAAATATTGTAAAATGTGTGAAATTGCTTACCACGACATGTGGGAGTTGGGGTCCATTGCCCCTCGATGCATTGAACAACATTTGGCCCTTCCAAGATATAATAATCCTGGCATTCAAACGTTCGTGTCTCACCGTGATCATATGTAGTTTTCCAGAATTCAATGAAGTCTCCACTAGGTACACGAGGAGGCTGGTCACATTTCATATCTGGATCTGGAAGATAATTACTTTATATACACTCATTAATATTATCTACACATACGGTATGTAGCTTTTTTTTAACAAGTTGTTTAACAAAGCAAAACACAGTGTATTTTTCAAATGGTCTTTCATAACCCCACCAAGCCCATTTCCATATCCCTGTCAACCCAGGCCTTTCCAGGCTCCACTGGCACCCTGTCACAGAACGGATCAATTTCAAGATGCGTATGCCCTCCTACAAATCGATTTTCTCAAGTCACAGCACTAAATTGATGATTTAAAAAAAATTGCTTTTGCATTTCAGTTTCTGTAAAGTCGACTCAAAACTCACCTTGACATTTCACATAGAAGATTTGTAAGCAAATCAAAATGTTCAAAAGCAAAAGAGTTTCAAAAAGTTTCAATCTTCGCATTTGATATAGCGCTTAATCACATCTTAGAGACGTCTCACAGCACTTCACAGAATATACTGTAAAGTAAATTGACCGTATATTTTGTGGGCGAAACGCAGACGCCAATTTCACACAACAGTGTTCCACAAACAGTCGTGGATTGAAGTGACCAATTAATAATAATAATTTAGGATTCATTACAACAATAAATCTCCAACGTACACTGAGCAAAATTAATTGATATTTTCTGCCGTACAATATGCAGGATGCAAGAAACCATCAGATGAAAATCGACATTTGTGGATATTACGCTTTTTAAAATGACAATTGTTCACACGAGCCATTAAAACTGCAAAGAAGTGTTACATGCAAAATTTACGTTTCAAAAGATTTTTGTCATCTTTGATACTATTGCACGCAAAGAACAAAACTGCTCTCAATCAGTTAAATAGCATTGTATTGTAGCTGGAAATATGTTATAACTAGCCTACATCTAATCTAGACATCCAAAATGACAAATGGATTTTCTAAGTCGAGTTCCTGATTTTCTCAAGTCAGCACTAAACTGATGATTTAAAAATTTGCTTTTGCATTTCAGTTTCTTTAAAGTCAACTCAAAACTCACCTTGACACTTGACATAGAAGTTTTGTAAGCAAATCAAAATGTTCAAAAGCAAAAGAGTTTCATAAAGTTTCATTTTTGCCAGATGCTGCTAGTTTTATATTCCTGGTCTTACCACCTCAATGCACTGCAGAATAACAAATGGTTTAGATTTAGCCTTCACCTTATGTTTTATTATTACTTCACCACAAATCTGTTAAGCCTTCTGTTTACTTATTTCCACAGCGTCCAGGGCAGGGGAAACAGATTTGCAATGAACAAACAAATCTTAATTTTACTTATTGCTGCAGGTTACTTAGCTGAATATGTGATCGCTGTGGTGCACAGAAATGTTCAGTATTAGATTTGAATCAGTTCAAAATCTGATTTAATTCCAACTCTAACCTGAGGATCATTAGAACACAAAGAATGGAATGAGATGAAGCCATGGGCTCATCAAACCTTGCATAATCCATTTTATCACAGAGTTCACTCAACCCTTCTGTGAAGAAGAAATATTCTCTGTTTCCAAAACTGCCACGTTTCTATCTTTTCCTGGCATGATAGTAATAACAATCTTTGCATTTGATACAGCGCTTAATCACGTCTTAGAGACGTCTCACAGCGCTTCACAGAATATACTGTAAAGTAAATTGACCGCATATTTTGTGGGCGAAACGCAGAAGCCAATTTCACACAACAGTGTTCCACAAACAGTCGTGGATTGAAGTGACCAATTTATTACTATTATTATTTTGAAGGAATGATCACCTCCGGAAAAGCAATCTGCCAATTGACTAACAACAGGTTCCTACATACTGCTGGTAAACAGAGGTGTGTGGAGTAAAAATAACTTCCGAGACGAGTGCAATAGCCACTGAGCTACAGTACACTGGGATTATCTTGTGCTGCATTCATATTGGAGATATATTGTTCCCATGAAGGATGGTTGACAAGGGTGGCTGGATTCATTTAGGACATCATGGGATAATGGGATAACTCTGGTGGTTATTGAATGGAATATTGATTAGAATTTATTGATTAGAAATGTATAAATTTTGGCAGATCAAATGGGCTGAAAGGATTTCATCCCCCCAACCTCTCTTGTGCTCTTATAATCTAAATAGAAATGCCTGCACTGCTGCCCTCAGATGCCCTGATTGCTGCTTCTGGTCATTTTCGATCTGATTCCGCATATCTTGAAGAAAAGAACAATGAATTTTCCAAAGCTCTTACCCTTAAGGTCTCAGCAATGAAACATGACACAATGATACAACTATCTAGATGACAACAAAGCCGCAGTAAGACAATTTCTATTTGCATATTCTGTTTAAAATATCATCATAATTGCATTATTTGCTTAAGCATTGATTTATCAGCAGTGTGGGTAAAATCCAATAGATATAGAAGTTACAAATTTACATTTATATAGTGCCTTTCATGTCAGGAGAACGTCCCAAGGTGCTGACGTGAAATCAGTATTTCGTACAACTATGAAATGATGAAATGTGAAATAATGCCAATCCGGATCCCAGAAACATCCATGATAGCAGCATATGAAAAAATCGGGAAGCAGTTGCCCTCTATATTCTCTGCTTGCTGTTGCATCAAACCGTGTCATTGGTAGGCTTATGGTGTTCGAATAATAATTCCAAAGTTGTAACCTTTCTCCTTTTTATTTAGCACTCAGTAACATTATAATTTTCACAAGACTGGTCCTTTGTTGCGAGATTGATTGCCTATTTTGCAGGCACGAGGAAATCAAACAGTGTAATTGATACCGATTCACAATTACAATAGTAATATTGCAGTCCTTTATTGATACAAATTTGATGATCCAGATTAGCTAAATAATAATAAGATTTCTAGTGTTTGATGTAACCCTTTATCATGTCATCGAAACATCTTAAATGTCATATATAATCAGCAACTTTTCTCTGTAAGATTTTTGTGAGAAGGTGAATGGTATTCCTCAGATCATGTGGCATTGCGACCTCGTCCAGGTACTGCAATATATAATGTTTTTTTTTAATTAATATTATATCCTACATTCGGGTATTGTGTACATAATTTAAAGTAAAGAGCATCAGAACTGAGACATTTTGGGGAAGGAAAAACATTTCAGTGCAATAGAAAATGAAATCTAGGACTTAGATCCCATTTAAAACTCACAATCAAAATCTTTATTCAAAAATATCATTTGTTGATTGTGGTAAACCAAAATCGTTGTCATACACTCATTCTTCTTATGAGTAACAAACCAAGAAATATTTGTTTGTGGTGTCACAAACATGTCTAATGACTAGTATATTGATATTAATTCATATTAAAAAAAGGAAAAAGTGTAATTACAAATAAGAAATTTTATCCATTTAATGTTTTATTTCTATGGCAAATAGAATGTTTATTTGGAGTCCCTTAGGGTAGAGTTAAGCACACTCGTCTTGCAAGCAAGAGGACCCGGGTTCGATTTCAAAGCAGGGTGAAATCTTAGTCAAGTTTCCTTGCCCCACATGCCCCACCACTCCAAAAAAAATTAGTCACTCACTCCATGACTGTTTGTAGGACACTGCTGTGTCCAATTGGCTGCCACGTTTCGCCCACAAAATACACAGTCAATCCATTTCACAATATCTCCTGTGAAGTGCTTTGAGACATCTACATCAAATGCTAGGAGTATTATGTTTCTGATTATTCTGATTATGATGATTATTCTGATGAGTATTATGATTATTATAAAAGGACCTTAACTTCTCTATAATGGCTCTTACCTGTCTAGTTTTCCATTGTTTTCATTACATACGAGTTATGTCAATAAATTCAATGCTGAAGATTTCACTAAATGTGACGTTAAATGTGAGCTGTAAGAGAATGTTAGAATATAACCAAACTGTAAACTACTCTTCAAAGATAATATCAAGGCAAAGCAGTAAAGACAAATCATGAGTCCTTGGACAAAGGGGGATCGCCTTGGAACTAAACTAGCTCCAAGGTGACATGCCTGGCAATGGAATATGGGAATCGAGCCAGGCTCTGTGGCATCCTTGATAGTCCAGTTCCTCAGCCAGGCAGGTCTGCAGTATTCCAGGGCACTGCTAATGACATCCCAGTCATCCTGGCTCATTGGGAAGACATGGAAGGGCAGACCAGTCACTGGGGGCAGGAAGTCATCCCACTCAGATCCTGTTAACGCTGCAATCCAAAGCCCTAAGGTGTAGGGTGGTCCTCGCGAGACAAACAGCGGGAAAGTTTGGCGGACAGCAATATCAATGGCAAACTATGTAGTTTTAGCTGGTTAGGCTGCAGCAGTACCCTAAAGCACACTCTGTGGTCCCCAACTCTTAGCTCTTGCCAACCCGTATCTAATACTTTCTTGAATTAGTCAAGCAGAATGCATCTCTCCGGGGAGATAGTGTGCATTCTATCCCAATAATCTGGCTCTGGGATTGCCACGTGTAGTGGGATGCATGAAATTCTCAGCTGGGTTTGGATACTCTTACATTTGGCTGTTTTTTCATAAAACATTGTTAAGTATTATGAATGAAATTAAATGCAGCCTGGACTGCTGGGTGACAAACTGCATTTGGTTCTTTTGAACAATTATATTCTAGCCATAGAGAAAGGGTGTTGATCTAGATTAGATCCTGTTGTCAAAAGAACCATATTCTCAAAAGAAGAAATGTTAACAATGAAAACAACTTACAGTACTTCCTTTGCGGAAAGGAAAACGATAATCACCAATTAAAGGTTTGTTGAATTGCATGCTTCTCGCTTCAATTATTATTCCCAGTGTTACTTCAGTGGCTGCTTTCAAAGAAAAAGCAATATTGTTGCCATATTGTTCACTGATGCCCGTCACAGTGAGTAAAGCAGTTTGTTTCCCTGATTCTGCTGTTAACACCAGACTGGTGGGATCTAAAAAACAAGTGGTTTGTTTACAACACAACATTAACGATTCGAATAAAAAAAAATTGAAAAAGCTGTGCTCCCATGAAACACATTTGGTCTATTTGCATTTGCAGACAACCTTCATCCTATTTCCTAAGTTTTGCTTTGCAGATTCTTCAAATCTTCAAATCTCCAAAACCAAAAACAATAATAAATTGGTCATTTTCAATCTACGATTGTTTGTGGGACATTGCTGTGCACAATTGGCTGCCGCGTTCGCCCACAAATATACAGTCAATTCACTTTACAGTGTGTTCTGTGAAGCGCTTTGGGACATCCTCCCGACGTGAAAAGCGCTATATCAAATGCAAGGATTATATTATTATTATTATTATTATCTGTGCCACATCTATCACACCCTTGGTTTATGTTTATACTTACCGTACTATTTACATTTATACAGCATCTTTCATTATTTATCCCACATCCAGTTGCCATTAGTAAACAATGTGCTAAGTTCCTGCAGCTTCATAATGTATCTGAATTATTCCCCACTACATTTCATACGTGATACATTGGTAATTGTCTTACCTGGTTTTGATACTGATATGACTCGACTTTGATATTGAACACAGATTTTACTGCCTGTACAATTGTGGCATTTCAAGAATTGCAATGGAAAGCAGTCTTCTGTTTGACGATCTGCAGAAAACAGCACAATTTTTTCTGTAAGTCACCAGTAGATCACATTTTTAAATTTTAAAGAATTTATGAAATAGCACTGGGTCCCATAAACCTAATTATCATTTTAAATAATATCGGTGGGAAGACTAGCCGAGGCGGTAGTAATATAAAACAAAAACATTTTCCATCCTGTTGTATTCACATTGTAAATACGTAAACACTCCCTGCATCTGATATAGAAGTTTTAACGTTGAGCACATCTCAAAGCATTTCACTATGTTTCTGCAAAGCGTAGTGACTGTGCATTTGTAGGCAAATGAAGCAGCCATGGAGTAACAGACCAATTTTATCTGAATGATTGTTGGCCAGAGCACCAAGAAAAACTCCCCTCTCTTTTTCAAATAGAGTCATGGGATGTTTAACAAATACTTGAACTGGCAGATGAATCCTCAGTTTAACATTTCATCCAAAGAACAGCACTTCTGTCAATGTAGCAGAGGTTCCCTCAGCGGTGCATCAAAATTGGAGGTGAAGAGACAAACCAAACTACTGCCTGTGTTTCCCAATGACACTAAACTTGAGCAAGTTCCAAAAACGGAACAGTCTAATTGAATAAATAATAATAATAATCCTATCATTTGACATAGTGCCTTATCAGGTGTTGAGATGTCTCAAAGCACTTCACAGAATATACTGTAGGGAATTTGTATCAATTAGGGCTTAGTTGGGGCTTGAACCCATAACCTTTCAATTCAGAGATTCCCAACTGAACCAAGTTAACAAATGTCCTTATTTTGCTGTGATTTTGCTTGCAAGTGATTAATTTATTGTTTGTCTGCTTGTCACGTTGCTATATTTTAAAATTCCACAGCATATTTTAAGATATATTTATGCAAACATTTTTAGGGCCCGTGTTTTAAGTGAGCAAGTTAATAGATAAATAGAATTAGATTTTTTTAATGAAATAATATTATTGATTAAAGCATCAGCGTTACTTACCCCTGTAACATGTGGGAATGGTGATATGTCCATCGTGGCAAATTTGTCTTAGAGAAACCCCAGTTTCAACTTTGTGTCTGGCAAAACATCTAAAGTCTAAACCTTCGTCATGTCTGACATATAATTTCTTATTTGTTTTCCATTTTAAATTGACTTTATTTATTTTAACACTCTCTTGACTGACAACGCATGGTTCTAAAGCAGAGGNAAAAATATATTTAATAGTGCTATGTTTATCAGTGCTATTTTTTAATAACATTTGAGAACTATCAAAAACAATTTTTCAAAACAAACAATTTAATTACAATTGTTTCAGATGCAAAACTATTTGATCAACATCAAGCTGCCATTAATCACCAACATAACAACTTGAAACCATTTATTTACAATAATTTATACAATGTACAAAAAGCAATACAATTTACATTTACTTTGGGAAGATATCTCGAAAGATGTAACAATAGTGTCTGGCTGGGAACCCGAGCTGAGGGTGGAGGCTGACTAAGGCTTGGAGCTGGTGGGGGAATTATTCAATAAAACCAAATGGTGGGTTGAGGGTGGTGTAAATGATTGAACAAACTGGAGTTTATTCAATCAACCCACCCTCGGGCTTCCATTCATAGATACTGACAAAAAACTTATTCTATGAGTATTTTTTCCTCCCGAATGTTTTATTGAATCTAAATGATTGACATTTATTGATTATTTTATGTCAGATTCTTCTGGCAATATAAGCAAGATAAACAACTTCCACTATGAATAAAATAACAGTGTGATTGGTGATGCACTTTATTCACAAGCAATAATAAAACTATAATATTCATTTTCATGTAACATATGTTTTGTGTTAAGTGAATTTAGTTTTAGAATTTGTACAAAGACATCTCTTTGTTGTTTCAGAAAGCAAACAAATGCAATTTGGAAATGAAATATCAGAGCCTAACAGCCTCAGATATTGAAAAACCATATACATTTTAGTGATTCATTTATGGGTCATTTGTGTAATTCACACAAGTTAATTCATAAAGATTGTTTTGCCCATTGCACAATGTGATGGAGAGGTTGATTATAGAAGTGAATATAAAAATAATAATAATAATAGTAATAGGATGTAAAATGTCTTTTGCGGGTGAACATGACAGCCTATGTGCACACAGCAATGTCCTACAAACAGCCAAGAAGTAAATGGTCAATTTTATTCAGGAGATTGTTGCCTTGGACACCGGGAGAAATTCCCTTCTCTTTTCAAGTAATGCATATGGATCAGTAATGTCCACTGCACCAACCTCCGTGAGCCAATCACCCCCATCCTCCCTCGGCTTCACTGGCTCTCCACCCCCCAGAGGATCAAGTTGAAGTTTCTCATCCTCACTTTTAAAGCCCTCCATGCTCTTGCTTCTCCCTTACTCTGCGATCTATTAAGACCTTTCGAACCTAAATGCTCCCTACACTCAGCGGACACTGAGCTGCTCCTTGTCTGCCCAATCATCAGCGGTCGGGCCTTCAGCCATTCTGCTGCCATCCAATGGAACCTTGCCTTGCCCCATCTCGTGCCTCTTTCAATGTCCGTCTCAAGACCTTCCTTTTTGACTGTGCCTTCGGTCACCCTCCCACCCCCACCTCTCTTGCCCTCATTCCTAGCGATTCCAATTCCCATCTCAGGTGCAAACCCTTGGCTGTCCAGTGACTTTGGACATCTTTCCAACATGAAAAGCACTATATAAATGCAATTTATGTTGTTGCTTTGTAGGCTTCAGTTAACGTCTCACCCGAAGGGCGACATCTCCAACAATGCAGCACCACCAAAGCACTGCATTAGATTGTCAGCTTGGACTATATGAGTTCCAATCCTAATTTGGGGCCCGAATCCACAATCTTGTGGCTTAGTTGTGCGTGATGTCCCTCAAACAGCCAAGAAGTGAACAACCAATTTAGCTACCAGGAGAAACGGGGAAACTTCCCTTCTCTATATGTGGATAAATTATCATATGAAAAAGTGAAAAAATACAACATAATACTTGAAAATAAAAAGTGAAAGCATTTGCACTGTTTAAAATTAAATCATCTTATGATTAAATATTGTAAAATGTGTGAAATTACTCACCATGACATATGGGAGGTGGTGTCCATTGACCCCCAATGCATCGAACAACGTTTGGCCCTTCCAAAGTATAATAAATTTGGCATTGAAATGTTCGTGTCTCATCGTGATCATACGCAGTTTTATATTCTTCAACAAAGTCTCCACCAGATACACGAGGAGGTTGGTCACATTTCATTTCTGGATCTAGAGGATAATTACATTATATACACACTTGATTATTATATACACACACAGTATGTTGCTTTCTTTTAACAAGTTGTTTTACAATGCAGAACACAGTGTATTTTTCAAATGGTCATGTCATACCATCACCTAGGACTCACCTCCATCAATCCAGACCTTGCTAAGCTCCACTGGCTCCTTGTCACAGAATGGATTGATTTCAAGATCCTTACACTCACCTACAAATCACTTCACGTCTTGGCACCTCTTTTCCTCTCTGACCTGCTCCTACTCCACTCCTCTACTCGCCCCTTCGCTTGTCTGACTCAGGACATCTGCACGTCCCTCAACCTTATCGGCCGCTGTGCTTTCAGCCACTGTGTCTTTCGCCTCAACCCCTTCGCCTTGCCCATGTTTGCCTCTATATATTCAGATCGCATCTGAAGCCTTTCCTCTTTGACCTTGCCAATTCCCTTTTGTCCCTGGATCCGTCAAACTATGCCATTGGTAAGTGATCGGAGACACTACCCCATGTGAAGGGTACTATATAAATACAAGTTGTTGTTATTATCTGCCAAGCTGTAATTTGCCTATATGAAGCTGTCCCTAAGGCTCAGAAATATGTTCTCATGCTACTTGAAAGGACTGAATGCACTTGGATCAGCTTGATTATTCTGGTTCTCCTGTCTTAGACATCTATGTTGATGGCTATACAAACTGAATTAAAATAATCTGAGTGAATGTGTGCGCAGTAACAATTTAAATTTACCCATTAATTTTGGGGGAATGTTGATTGACCATTTTCTTTAGCCAATACACATTTCAATAAAGTATGTAATTATTAAATTGCAAGTAATCTCAAATGATTCTTACCATGGCACGATGGTGATTCAGTCCAATTTCCGTCAACACAAAATATTGTAGATCGTCCTTGGATTCTAAAACTGTAATTACATCCATACTCTATTTTGTAGGGCAGGGCAGTTGTAACATGCCCATTCTTTAGAAGAGGTGGAGGGACACAGCTTGTTGTGTAGTCTACAAGAGATGGAAACCATTTCAAATCGTCCTCTCAACTAAATTGATAAATAATTGATTTTAAACCATTGAAATGTATTCCTTTACTTTGCAAGAAGAACTTGTGACTGTAGTTACAGATGAACATGGCAGCCTATTTGCACACAACAATGTCTAAAAAAGCCAGAAAGTGAATAATTTTATCTGGACAATTGTTGACCAGGACACTGGGAGAAGATCCAGTTAACAGCTGAATATCAACAACAAACACAAATTTCCATTTGTATAATAATGACATCATTTGTGCTTACCAAAACAAATGGGTTTCTGAGGCCAACCACTGGCACCACACTGTAGTTGTTGATTTCCAAGAAGTATATAGGATCGAAGGCATGTATATGTCACAAAGTCACCAACATGATATGGACCAGATCTAGGTCTAATTGTCGCATGTGCCACTCTAGGTGGATCGCTACAGATACTTACTGTAAAATAAATGTGTTGATTAATCGTATTATTAAATTACATTCATTATCCGTTAAGTTCAATTGTAAAATCACCAGCTGAAACTGGTAATGTAATCTGCAATGATCTTTGTGTCCCTTTATTTCCCATTGAAAGGGTATTCATTTCTCACCTCTCATGCATCCCAGTTAGCTCGGTGAAAAATATTAATGACTATATAATAGAATTAGTTAAAATGTATTTACCAATTTGGATGTTAGTATTGTTTCTATTTGTATCTAGCAGCGATAATGAATAAAAGAAATAAAGGTAATTTACCAATGCAGGTTGGATAAGAATCTCCGATAAGCCATTCACCATTCTGGCACTGTATTTCATTGCTTCCTTGCAATCTATTTGAATTTTCGCATGAATACTTGACCTTGGCACCATCATTGTACCAAAGTTGTTTAGGTAGGTATGAACCAGAAATAATTTCTAAAGGTTTTGGACATTGTGCTGTTAAACAAAAGTAAAATTGATTGTAAAACCCCTACAAAGTCTGCTCCATACCACAAATTTGGCGATATCACTGATGAACTTGGACCAAGTTGATTGTGCATGAAAAATATAAATAAATATACAATGACATTAATTAAAATGTATTTACCAATTCAGATATTATTATTATTTGTATTTGAATCTACTGCCGATGATGAGTAAAAGAAATAAAGATAATTCACCAATGCAGGCTGGAAGAGAACCTCTGGGATCCCATCTACCATTGATGCACTGTATTTCTTCTCTTCCTTTCAGTTGATATGAATCTTCACATGAATATGTGACTTTCTGATGATTCCTGTACATTGATTTTGGAGGATTATATCTACCATGACTTATTTCTGGAGGTTCTGAACATGATCCTGTCAAGCAAAACTAAAATGAGTTGGCATAAACCCCCTACAAAGTCAGAATATTTTCTTATGTTACAGTGCAGCCCCATTATAACATGCTGCTTTATAAAGCAATATTTTAGTAATAACACAGTTGCATTTGGACCCGTTCACTGCACATCTTTGCAGCCAACCCGCTCACTTTATGTACGTTGGGCAGGTTTAGCGCCAAAATGGCCAACACACAGGTCATAAGGTCATTTCATGCACAGCAATTAGGAAGGGAGAAAGTACTGTGCACCCTGAAGCCCAAAGCAAAAACTCAGAACATCCACCATTTCCACATCTGCCCTATTGAACGCTCTTTATTCTACCATCATTATGTGGTAGTAATGGCACAGAAATCACTATGTCTGAAAAGCCTTTCAATCTGGATGAGTGTGGATGGCGTTGCGCCCCCTCTCTATCTGTCCCCAAGTTCCATCTTAAAACCTACCTCTTTGACCAATCCTATGGTCACCTCCTTCCCCTGCTAACCCTTCCAGAATTGTAAAATGCTCCAAGACATTTTTCTATGTGGAAGGTGCTAAATAAATGTAAGCTGTTTTTAATGCAGTTATTTGCGACATAGTTGAAAACAAGATGCAATTTTGGGAGAAACTTCCTTCTCTTTTCAAATAGCCCCACGGGCTTTAATGTCTATCCAATCAGCTTATCGAACCAACCAGGGGAAAGTTTGGTTTCACATCGCATTCGAAAGTTGACAATGCAGGGCTTCTCCAGCACTACACACATGTCAACCTAGACTGTGAGCCTGACATGGGTCTTGAAACTACAACCTTTTGACTCAGATATGAGAGTCTGACCCCATGAGTCAGGCTGACACCTAATCGATGTAGAATGGACATTTGCACCATTGTGTCACATAACTGAAATGAAAAAGGTCATACCTGGGCAAGCTAAAGGGGGTTCCCATCCGCTTGTAGTGCAGAGAGAGTGCGTGTCAGGCTGACACCTCCAATATGTACACTCTCTGCAGGAGTAAGATGTCCGTTCCCCAATCTGATATTTACCCACATTTGCTTGTTGTAATCCACTGTCGTATCTAACGGTACAAGTCATTTCTAAAAAAAACAAAGGAGCATTGTTAGGGTTTCTGATGAGTTAGATAAGAAATTATAAGGAAGAAAATGTCTTTATTTTCATTTGTTTATACTACTTTGTCACATCAAAACATCTTACAGTGTTTACATATGATTACCTTCAGGTATAGTGATTGATTTTGTCTATAAATGAAGCTGTCAATTTGCTCACAGCAAGTCTCACAAACAGCCGTAAAGTGAATAATCAATTTGTCTGAAGGACCACCCACTCTAATGCAGTGCTGGGGGTGCGTTGCAATGTCAGAGATGTTGTCCTTCAGATGAGACATTAAACTGAGGTCCTGTTTGCCCAATAATTTGGTCAGTCAATCCATGACTATTTGTGGGACACTGCTGTGCTCAATTGTCTGTTGCGTTTCGCCCACAAAATATACAATCAATTCACTTTATGGTATATTCTGTGAAGAGCTTTGAGACATCTCGAAGATGTGATAAGGCGCTGTATCAAATGTAAGGAATATTATTATTATTTGTTTTAATATGAATGATCGAATCAAGGAAATGAATTGTTACTTTTAATAGAATATATTCAATCAAATTGTACAGCCTAAAGGATTACTGATAGTGATGTTTCTAGTAATTTTCTCCGAAGAGGAAAATGACTTACCAGCACACGTTGGAACAGGCTCCCATCCATCTGCTCTGCACGTCACTTTTTGTCTTGAAGGTGTGTAACCCCTATTACATGTGTAATGCACTGTTTCCTGATAATTATACATCATTGGAATCTCAAAATCACCGTTATGTATGTATGTTGTCTGACATGTTATTGCTGACAAAACAAAATGAAAAAAATGAGAGCAATTGATATTGTGATTGGCAGTAATATTTATACTCTCATTTCAGATTATCTAGACATGGTCTATGCATCTGCTCATAGCTGGTTGGAAAGCGGAGTTATTAGAACAAAACGGTAAATACAAAAAATCAGATTTGTTTCAACTGAATTTGTAGTAGGTTGGAGATATTTACCAACAACTTGACTTTCATGCAGAGTGAATGTCTTCTGATCAACGACAAAGTACAAGATACAGTTCAAAGATTAATTTTTTAGTTAATAAAATCACCGAAATTTATACCCGATGAAAGAAGATACTATGCTTACGTGAGCACAGTGGTTCCGGAATCCAGCCATCTTTAGTGCATCGACTTGGATGTTTGCTTGAAGGTTTATAACTAGGATTACACTGATATTCCTGAATTTCTCCATTTTTGAAGATATCCTTTGAGCTTTTTACATGCCCAAATTCTAGTCTTGTTTTTTCACATTGAATTTCTGATGAAAGAAAATCACGTAATGGTTCTGATGAAGTTTTCAAAGTTTATACTACTAAAACAGTACTTGAAACTTATTTCTGGAGGATGTACAAGTGGTGTTGATAACCTGTGATTCTCTACCAAGACAGAATTCAAGGGTGACTTGGTGCTACATTGAGGTATGTAAAAATCATGTTTGCTCATCCTGAGAAAAAGAAATAAAAAATAATCTCACTGTCTATTAACAAAATCTAGCACGATATTGAAAATTGGTAAGATATTTGATGTTGACAATTATCCTTTTATTTTTTTCAAATGGATTAAAGTTAGGTGGACAGATTCACAGAACATAATATAAGCTGTTCCTATTACTGTTTTATGCAGTGCTCAATTTTGTTATAAACTTCCATATTTGCTGTGTGACAGTAAAATTTGGTTACACATTTTACTAAAATCTCAAACAACTCAAAACAACATGTCAAGGGATTTCATATGAAGACAATTTTAAAAAAATCCCAAAACGTTTTGACATTAAAACATCTTACCTGTACAAAAAGGAACTGGGTGACTCCAGGTTTTGTTCTCTAAGCAGTAAATTTCTTTTGCTCCTTGAAGGGCAGTGTTTGGAGAAGTACATTCAAATTGAAGGACGGATCCGTAGGGAAAATCCGGTTGTGAGTCATATATTCCTTTTGCACGAATATCTTCTGGTATATTTACTGATGAACATGTTTTTACTACAATAACAAATTGAATAATATAAATGTAATTTTATTTGTGCGTGTTCTCATTTTTGAATTGCAAAATAAGATATGTACAGATATTGATGTTTATATGCTTTCAGAAAATCCTCAAGCATCAATGAAAATATTTCCACAAGAATAGGCCGGGTTGAGAAATTAATAGTTGACCTGGTAACTTTTAATAGAAAGGACAGGTGGTTGCTGCCTTCATTGTTTTGACATCTGCCGCTAATATGGTTTGGATAACTGGGCTAAAGTCTCAAAAGTTATTGTGATATAAAGATTGCTCCCAGTAATAATACCACCACTATGTACAGAGAGTATATATGTCTACGTATGTGTTGCTCATCAGGCTGGTATTTCTGTAGAGCTGAACTAGGTTCTGAAAGTAGTTCTACTTATTCTAAGAGGATAACTACTTTCACTTTGATAGGAAAGCTAATCATCAGCTCTGCATATCATAATGTGGCATTGAAGTTCAAAATGTTCAAAAATAACTTATCTTGAAGTGAGTGTTGACTCTAGTTACCATCACAACGGAGCTACCATCATTTCTGAGGATGTCTAACAGCAAACACTAAGCCTGGTTAACACTGTGGAGCACTAATACTTCTAACCCCATATCCCTTCTCTCAAATTGCAGTTCTTTTGCTCCTTTATAATAATAATAATCCTTGCATTTGATATAGCACCTTATCACATCATTGAGATGTCTCAAAGCGTTCACACAATATACTGTAAAGTGAATTGACTGTATATTTTGTGGGTAAAATATTCTATGAAATAAATGCTTATTTCACCTAGAAGGCTCTATATAAATGCAAGTTGTATTCACCTGTAAAATATTGTTCCCCTGGATGAGGTAGCAATAATTAAGTTAAATTGCTTTTTCTGTTTTATCTCTGATATCCAGGAAGCATAGTCCCTCGAGTGATTTCTATTTCCCTAAAATGTGACAATTCAATTGCATATTACACAGTGACAACTCTTATCTAAGTTCGGAGAGAAGTTTCTAACATTTTGGCACAGTGGGTATTCTGGAAAGATTAGATCAAATGGGACAAATGTCCCTCTTCATCTGAACCTCTCTTGCGATCTTGTGATTTTCTTTATTAAACACATGGTAAATGATCAGACCATTTTTAAACGAGGCAGCTGTAACTATTATCTGTTTCTTTTTTAACGTCACAATGGTGCAGCACAAGTACAGAGTGATGAAGCTGGGTTTCATTCCATATTCCATAAAAATTGGGTCATTTTCAATCTACGACTGTTTGTGGGACATTGCTGTGCGCAATTGGCTGCCGCGTTCGCCCACAAATATACAGTCAATTCACTTTACAGTGTGTTCTGTGAAGCGCTTTGGGACGTCCTCCCGACGTGAAAAGCGCTATATCAAATGCAAGGATTATTATTATTATTATTATTATTATATCTTTCATTACCTTCACAAAATGGAGGACGCCCACTCCAGCCATCAACACGACAGTCACGTTCATCTGAACCAACCATCTGATATCTTTTATTTAAAAAACACACAACATTACGAGTATTTCTCTTTCAAAGAATGCATTGAATTTGAAGTTTTTCCCCATTTGAAAGTTACCATTTGAAGCTGGGTTTCGATTTTTAAATTTGCAGATTTTTTTAAACAATATTTCTGATTAGAATAACCACATTTGAGACATACTAAGGTTTAAAACCAGTACACGGCCATTTTACCCATTTAATGCTGATCATGTGATTGTTGTATCCCTAGTTTCTACATATGCCTTTCGCCATCCTTCTTGTGTTCCAACGTTTTTCACCTCATGAATATTAATCCTAAATTTGCTTTTGGTTCTTTCCCATATATAAATCATATGCAACTTTCATTTAACAAACATAATCTGTTATTATTACTAATCACATAAATGGACATCACATTGGAATTTTTGTTATAATAAAGAATATTCTAAAATCAAATAATCATTTAATTGTCGGATTATTTGCTATTTGCACCACACTTCTTTCTTTTTAATTCTTACTATCTAACTGCTTTGAGTCAGCACAATCCTAATTGTCACATGACAATCCTGGCAGAACTCTCTCAGGCCGCTGATTATTTTTTCCACAAGATTTTGTAATACATCAAAAGGTTTCATTTTTTTAAATGTTTTCGAAGTTTGTGAGTCTGTGAAAAATTCCTGAGCGGTTCGATGGACGGTTTGAGCTTGCCAGCCTACGCCTGGTACTTTTTGATAGTATGTAAACAGGATGTTACCCTCCCAGGGAGAAAATGTGCAAAGAGCAAAAGGAAATTTCCATGCATATGTGGAGCTCTCAATAGTTTGTTTGGATAATCTTAAACAAGGGAATGGGTTTTGGCGGAAACCCATTACCTTGCTTAAGAATGTGTCAGGGATCCAGCTAACAACAAGAAAGATAGATAATGGGGGAATGTAATTCACACCCTCCACATTTAGATTATGAGTTTAGATTATATGGTTCCTAAAAACACAGTGTGACTCCAGGATAATTTCTGTTGGCTCAACCATGATTTAATCCTATATGCTTGTCAGCAATTTGCTGTGAAACATGAACAATAAATTAAGCATAAAGAATACCTTTTAAAGGCGAACTCTTCCTTCATTCGACAAGATATTGAGACAGATTCACCTAAATGCAATTCTTACCCCTCATTACAGGTGTACTGTACACGAGCACCGAACACAAATTCCTCATGGTTTGTCAAATGAAATCTTCCATTATCAGGATCTTGAAGACTTTCACAGGGTCTTGCTAATTTTGACATTGGGATAAAATATTAATGTAACAGATAAAATTCACTGTTTTAAAAATGTACGGTAAGCAGCAATAAAATTGTTATGACAAGTACAGGATGTCCACAAAGTCTTGTTGCCCCTGTTTTGTTTTCTCTTCCTACAATGATTTTTTATTTTCTGTAAATAAATGCAGTGTAACAATGTGTGATACCGATCACTTCCTCGACATTCCACCATGTTATGGAAGATGCTGCATGTCTAAATACAGTTAAACATTTGGACTGAATACAATTGTGTACTTCTTAATACAATTATCAGCATTCTTCCACATGTTTCAGTTGTTGGTCAGTGTACTTTAGAAAAAACACATGGGGTAATAGGACTTTGTGACTCAGAAGCGAGAGTGCTTTTAATGAGCCAGGCTGACACAAATGATATTTGTATTTTTGGTTGAGTTAAGCTGGTATTCCTCAAACTGGCATTTAAATGCAATGATTAATGACCGGCAACTCTGACTAACTTCTGCATTTAACACTAGTTTTACCCTATGTTTTCTTAAAGAGTACGAATAACTAAAAAGGCCTCATTAACTGCTAGCAATATTTTAGGAAGTGAATAGAGCTGTTTAAAATCCCAGGATGGTGTTTTATGTGATCACTATGTATTCCAAACATTACTGATGAAATAAACACATTCTTTAACATTTAATTTCAAAAGATCATTAACTTGTACTCCACATAGATCTATTGACATTTAGGAAATTAGATATTTGCAATCCATTACAGTATTTTCTTATACTAAAAGTCTTTGGTTGGATCCTTTTAATTGCTATTTTTCCATATGTTATTTAGAAGATTCCAAAAGATATTAATGAACCCCCAAAAAAGGACACAGTGTTTCCATTGTATCAAGTGGCATTATTTATTTTGTATTTAGTTTATTTACTTTCTATCTTCCTCAGGGAGAATTTAAGTAGATTTCCTTGGAGCTGGTTAACCTCCAGCAGCACTCCAACATGTACTCAACTTGCACCTAACACTCTCCGGTAATTAGGTAGGGATGTTGCGTCCCTCTGTGGAGAGAGCGTACATTCCATTTCAGACACAGGAATTTCCATGTGTAGATAGTATGGGTGGAACTCTTAGTCTACGATTGGTGATTGGTTTCTGAATATGTCAGACACTTTGACCAAATAAAAATTACTTTGTCCATTTTATTTCTATTTAACCAAGATTAAGCATTGAGTGTGCTATTTTCTTGAGACATGGAACACATATCGCTAAGTCCTGCTCACACTGAACACTTCCTATGTCCTTTAGTTTGGCTGACAGCATTAATTGTTAAGCAATGCTACTTGTATTTTAACAAGCCTTATATAATATTGCATTAAAAAGTCCAAGTATTGCTACATTTTATTTTAAAAGTTTTTTATTGTGATCGTGAACTAATATCAATTTATGTAAAAAAAATTCATGCAACTTCACTTACGTTTACAATAATCTCCGATATTTAAATTGCTCCATTTTCCATCTTGACACACCATCCGTAGATAATTTATTTGTATATATCCAGGTTGGCATTTGAACATTAGGATAAATCCATGTTCATGGGTGTCACTTATAACAAGTGGCTGTGCATTATGAATCCTTTCAGGCGCACTGCAACTTTCTGGGGAAAGAACCAACAAGTCCACAGTGCTTATTTACTTGTTTTAAAAACTAATATCCCTTGCCCAATATATGAAGAGGACAGATAGACTAATAAATTTGATGAGTTGGCAGATGAAATTTATTGCAAAAAGTATAAAGTTAGATATTTGGGAGGAAGAGTAAGGAACGGAAGTATATAATATATAATATTCATAATATATGTAAAATGGTAAAACAAGATATGATTGTTCTACATTCTTATATTGTCCACACACCATAGGATTGTGTCCCCTTGAATCTAATTAGTTGGTAATTAGATTGCCGTCTAGAATAGTTTGCCACCATTCAACATTGTGCTATTTGTGTTGTTCAAGTTTGGAGTGGTTCTTTCTTGCATAATTCCCAGAAACAAAAAAAGTCTGCAGAGTATTTATTAATCTCAATATTGTTTGCAAGCAGGTATTTCTGTAAAGATCAATCACAGCAGTTCTTTATGATTATTGTTTTACAATACAGAAAACATTTCTGCACCAATAAAATTGTATTGGTGCAGAAATGTTTTCTGCTGATAGATGGCGATATTGCACTGTGAATAATTTGTTGAATGGTTTAATTCAGCACAATATCACTATTGCCTGAAGCAACAGTCTTAAAAGAATATTGAGTTTTGGCTTATCACCACCCGTAATTATTGACCCTACTTTCCTGCAAGCCTTCCCCAATTGCTCGGTCTCCGGCAAGATGCCCCAGCATGAAAGTCACTATATAAATGCAAGTTGTTGTTTTGTTTTTGCTGAGAAACGTTTAGTTTCTTCATTCTATTCTGGTAAACAGCAATTGATTGCTGTAATCATTATAGTGTATTAAAAAAGTATTGATTGTCACAAATCTCCATTAACTTTAATCATCTAGTTTATACTCACTGGTAAATGTTGTTTCTTATTAACTATTAAATCTTATTGAATCTATGTGAAAAACCAACCTTATTGTTTTGGCATCATATTAAAGTGTTTCTTGCAAACACATTTTAATTTGTATCAAAACACATTACTGTGGCTCTTGTAAGATATTGCCACAATGGAAAGATCTTTCACTATTTCACCTACACAAATAAACACAGTTATTGTCCAAGACACATTTATGTAGATAGTGCTTTTTTTATTCCAGTAAATATTTACATCAAGAGATGGTCTCAAAGCGATCACAGGTAAAATGGCTTTGGTAAAGTGTAAAAAGTAATGACTGCGTATTTTTAAGAGAGAATGTGGTAGCCAGTTTGTGGACACCACGTTGATCAACTTTGTTCTGATAAAGGGTCACATCTGAAACATTCTTCTGTTTTTCTTTTTTTTCAAAATTTGATGAACCTGCTATGATTTCTACCATTTTTTATTCTAATTCAGATTTCTACCATCCATCTGACAAGCAGACAGGCCCTCAGTTGAATGTCTCATCTGAAGGATGGTATTGCTGACAATACAATATAAATTTACGTTTATGTAGCATCTTTCACATTCGGAGGATGTTCCAAGGCGTTTAACAATACTGACTTGATAATGCAACACACCTCTAGCACTGCATTGGAGTGTCAGCCTAGACTGTGTGAGATCAAATCCCGACATGAGGCTTGAACCCACAACCTTCTGACTCAGAGTGCTATCAACTGAAGCAGGTTGTCACCTAAATTAGTTTAAGAACCAATATTCTATTTAGCATCCTATTTTAATGAGGATACATTTACTTAAATCATCTTTGAAATACTACTTAAGATCTCAGAGTTGAAAATATTTTTATTTTAATATTTTAGATATCTGGGTTACTCACAAACATTGGTTTATTTAGGTTGTCAGAATGGGGAGCTCAATAGAGTATTATGATCATTTTGTGCCTAGAAAACTAAGGGGCATTTCAAGCCATGAATAATCTGAAAGTGAAAAAAAAATCTCGGAAACTTTCATAGTATAGAGATTGTTTCATTTATCTTTGAAGCAAAAGAATAAATGAACGGAAATGTTTCCATTAATAGAATAGTAAATTCAAAATAAATCTGCTGAAACACTATTTCAGCGAGCGAGTAGTACACGTATGGAACAGGCTCCTGAGGGAGACAGTGGAAGCAGAAAGTGCTGATTCTTTTAAGAACAAATTAGATAGATTTCTGTTAGGAAATAATATCTTGTGATACAATGTGTAGTTCGGGACACTACATGAGCATGCGACTGCCAGAATAGTGGAAGGCGAACTGGATGGACCTTGATCTTCTTTCACCTAGCAAATTTTTATGTTCCAGGATGACTATTTAGTGGTGTATATTGTTTTGTACATCTTTATGCAAATGTAAGCAATACTCAATACAATACATACTTTAATCTCAAATTCCAATATTTTGTGCGCTCATTTACAAAGTGAAATAATAAAAGTTGCACTCACCTCTAATGGCCTCTGTTACAATACCAAAACTACCCAAGTTAGTAAGAAGCAAAGCAAAGGCAATTGATTTCATTTTAACCGAATAACTAAGGAGACTTCCAAAATAGTAGCTCTCTATTGTACTATCCTAATACAGACTGAAACAAAAAAATGATTGTGTTTCAAATCTTGCTGATTAAAAATTTACCAAAAAAAATCGATATGACGCGCACTGCATCTTGGAGAGGGACATTTAGTTGACTGGAGTTAAAACGAGATCAACCGATATGCTGCAGCTATTGCTAAATTTCAACAATCAGTGTCCTCTTAAACGGCAATGTCCTATTGCACACATGTTCAGTGAATGAAGCAACACTTTACATTATGTGACCTTATTGGAAGATGGGATGTGGAATGTCCTGCTGATTAGGGTGATGGAGACAGAGTCCGTTGTGGCTCTCAAAAGGGAAGTAGATAGCCATATGAAGAACGGGGGCTAGAAGCGGGATAGAGATCAAGTGGGGCAGGGGAATTGAGCAATATCTTTGTGAGCTGGTGCAGGCTTCGTAGGCTGAATGGCTTCCTTCTACACTGTAGATTTCTATGTTTTTATCCTCCCGATTTGAAAGGCACTATGTCAAATGCAAGGATTATTATTATTATTATTATTTTAAAAAGCAGGTAATAAATATAACATACAGGTAGTCTCATTTTGTGACAAGGAGTAAACGTAGTTCTTTTTTAGAATTTGTAACATGTCGATTTCAATTTTTTAAACTTTTTAAACGCAGAACCTTTGAGAAATAATAATAATAATAATCCTTGCATTTGATATAGCGCTTTTCACGTTGGGAGGACGTCCCAAAGCGCTTCACAGAATACACTGTAAAGTGAATTGACTGTATATTTGTGGGCGAAATAAAGTTCCTGGAAAGAAAAATAAATCCTCGAAACAATTTCAATGCTGAAATCAACATCATCTGGATTCTAAAAAACTATTTTATCTTTTGATGCTAAATGCAACTACCTAGTGTCTGCTTGGCATATCTGGTAGCAATCTTCCCTCTTGACCCAGAAGATTGTGAGAGCCCTGTTGAAAGTGCTATCCTTTGGCTTAGATGTTAAACCGAAGTCTTCGGCCTGCTTGTTCAGGTGGAAATTAAAGATACTGTAACACTGCTTGAAAAGTGTTTCACCCGGTGTCCTGGCCAACATTCCCCCAGATAAAATTGATTATTCACTACATAGTTTTGTGGGACATTGTTATGATCAAATTGGCTTCTGTGTTTACCGAGAAAGAAAATCATCAATACACTTTGCAGTAATGTATGAAATACAGATGTATTCATAAGAATCTTCAGAGCTTTGTCTCCCAGAAAAATGTGTTCCAGAACTAATTTGGATTGTGAAATCAGTATTTGCTTGAGGATAGTAATATTTGGGTTATTATCTCTTCGTCTCCTTGCAGTTGAACTGGCTCCAAGGTGATTTGCTCGATAATGGAATGTCGGAATTGGGTCAGCCCTCTGCGCTTGTCTCGGTAGCCGGTTCCTGTGCCAGGTGGGTCTGCAGTTTTCCAGGGCGCTGCTGATGACAGCTCAGACAGCCTGGCTCATCGGAAGGCAGACCACTTACTGGGGGCAATGAATTATTCCACTCAGCTCCTGTTAACCCTGCAAGCCAAAGCCCTAATGGGTTCTAGCTGGACAAGCAGCAAGAAAGATTGTCATCAATGGCAAGCTAAGTAGTTTTAGCTGGTTAGACTCCATCAGTACCCCAACGCACCCGCTGTGCTTTTGTCAACCTGCTCCTAATACTTTCTGGATTTAGGTGAGAAGGATGTGTCCCTCCAGGAGAGAGTCCGCATTCCATTCCAACACTTGATCTCTGGAATTTCCATATGTAGGTGGGATGCATGGAATTCTCAGCTTGGTTTGGATACTCTTAAGCATAGTGATGGGTTTCTGCATATATCCAAAAAAATGGACACCCAAAAAATCTCTTCCCCTCCCCACATAACATGCAATGTGAAACCTGAGCATATTGTTACATTCCTGCAATATATTGCACTATGCTGCCATTAATTTTAATTGCTTCACTACATGGTCTAGACAATGGAAGTTGCTGGATATTATGCTAAAGCATTCTCCTATAATTAGATTATCCTCATTATGTATTAATGCCCCACATTTTTCTACATAAATCTAATGCTTTAAATTTGTCAGTGTAAAATGACAAATTTCCATTTGTCTGCCCAATTGTTTCACTGATTAAAATCCTTTTGCAAAGCAATGTGATTTCCTTTCTCTCTAGCACTCTCCTGATGTTTATGCATAAGCAAATGTACATCAACAACTTTCATTTATATAGTGCCCCTCACACAGGATAGGGTTCCAGAGGGCAAATGTAACCAGTTTATAGCTGGTTTTCATATCATGGCCTTTATATATATTAGAATAAATCAGGATTCAAGCATTGATTCTGTGGTTCTCTACCCAGCGCCATCTGTCCTCAAACCACTCAATCATTTTTTTTTCCAAACTAGTTCTGCTGTTCTAGATTCTTTTAGTTGAATTGGCTCCATTTTGATGTAGCACACAATGATTTTTTTCTGAAATTCCGAATACTGGAAACTACGGGATATGATAGTAGGCTTCACTGGGAGTTTCTCCAGCATCCTGGCCAAAATTCCTCCATTTAATTTGATCTTCAATCATATCCTGGATGATTGTGGCACATTTCTGTGCACAAATTGGCTGCCATGTCTGCCTACAAATGCCCAGTCACTACAAAATCTACTGAAGCGTTTTGAAATGTTTTGTGATGATAAAGCGTTATATAACATAGTATTCATCAACTTGAGGAACAGATAATTCTTAGTGCATTTACGATACATTTCTTGGTACTTTTTAAAATCAGTAAGGAGGTTGAGATTTCTATACAATTGCTATATGAATGAGATTCTCTGCATTTTTTGTATCATGAATGTTTGTGGCCAAGATTGATTTGTGCTGCGTTTATACTTCACGTCTGACTGTGAATCACTTGAATTTTGGCGATTCGCTGCCAAACATACAATATAAGCAGGAGTTCAGTCAGCTCAAGCCCATTCCTGACACCAGGTATTAAATCTGTTTGTGTTAATTTGTTTTCTATATGTCTTTACAATTGTTTCGCTGATTGAATCCTTTTTGTAAATCAGTATGATTTTCACCCACGCATTAAAATGCAGCTGATGCATATTGCAATGAGCTCACTCCCTCATGGTCCGCTCAGGCAGGAACTTTGAGTTGATCATTTGTTTCGTGCCATTAAAGAGAAAAGCAGAGAATGGTAAAATCAACTTTTATGTGAAGCGATGCAGGGTTGAAAGAATAAGGAAGCAAAAGTATATCCAATCCAAGTAATATCAGAACAGATAATTCTTGTTTGTAATTTGTTTTTCCTGAGAAACATTCAATTTTACAGACTGTTGTATAAATTGGATCTTTCTGCATATTGAAGTTTAAAAACGGCTATCATCCTTCCTATCCTTAAAAATTCCTCCCTCGACCCATTCCTTCTCTCAAACTACCACCCAATCTCCAACCTCACTCTCCTCTCCAAGGCCCTGGAATGAGTTGTTGCTTTCCAGCTTTGCTCTTTTCTCTCCCGCCACTCCCTTCACGAACCCCTCCAATCGGGTTTCCGTGCCGCCCACAACACAGAAACAGTCCTGGTCAAAGTGACGAATGATATTTTGTCTATCTGCCTTCGACACCATTGACCACTCTATCCTCATCCACCGCCTTTCCTCTCACCTCACCTCAACTCCACAGTTCTGTCCTTGAATGGTTCAGATCGTACCTCTCACACCGCCTCCGCTTCATCTGCACAAATGGTTTCTCTTCTAGCCCCCGCATTGTGTCGTGCGGCATTCCTCTGGGCTCTGTCCTTGGTCCCCTCCTCTTCAATATGTATATGTTCCCTCTTGGTGACATCATCTGCAGACATGGGGTCAACTTCTGCATGTAACTCTCTGCCTCCACCCTTGACTCCAGGACCACTGCTGTCCTGACAGAATGTCCTGACAGAGCTAATTTTCTTCAGTTGAATGTCACCAAGACCGAGGCTCTCCTGATTGGCTCCCATCAGTGCCTCCACACCTCAGGCGCTGACAGCATCACCATCCATGGATGCACACTCCACCTTACTAAGCCAGTCCGGAGCCTTGGCATCTTGTTTGGCATTGTGGAGTCCTGTAACTCAGTGGTTAGTGCACTCGCCTTGCAAGCGAGACACCTGGGTTCAATTCCAGCCAACCTTGGGCAAGTTTCCTTACTCCGCACGCCTAATAATAATCAGTCCAAAACAAAAAAACAATAATAAATTGATCATTTTCAATCCATGGCTGTTTGTGGGACACTGCTGTGCGCAATTGGCTGCAGCGTTTTGCCCACAAACATACGGTCAATTCACTTTACAGCATATTCTGTGAAGCGCTTTGAGACTTTAGAAGACGTGAAAAGCACTATATCAAATGCAAGGATTATTATTATTATTATTGTTTGACTCTCAACTATCCTTTCTACCCCACATCCGTGTCATGATCTGCTCTGCCTTCCCCCACCTCCACAACATTGCCCGGCTCCGCCACTGTCTCACACTGCAGGCCACCGAAACCCTCATACACGCATTCATAACATCGAGGTTTGACTATGCAAACTCCTTGATTGTTGGTCACCCCAACTCCTCCCTTCATAGGCTGCAGATCATCCAGAACTCTGCAGTCTGTGTCCTCTCCTGCACTAAGCTCAGTGACCCCATCGCCCCCATCCTCGCCTGACTCCACTGGCTTCCCATCACACAGATGATATAGTTCAAGGTCCTGGTCCTCACCTTCGAAGCCCTCCATGGCCTTGGTCCTCCATACCATCCTGCCCTCTCCATCCTCTTAGTGGGCTCTAGCCTGCTTCACGTTCCCCACCTCGCCAGCCCCCACCATTGGCGGGCAGGCTTTCTGCTACTCTGCTCCCACCCTCTGGAACTTCATCCCGCAGTGCTGTCGCCTCGCCCCCTCCTTTGCCTCCTTGAAGACCCATCTCAAGGTCCTCCTCTTCAACCGTGCTTTCCATCACCCTGCTTCCCTCCCTGCGCTCTACTCTCCCCAATCCCAACCCCCAGCTCGGGTCCAAAACACTTACTGTCCAGCACCTTGGAACATCCTCGCGACGTAAAAGGCGCTACACAAATGTAATTTTGTTTTTGTTGTTGTACACAGAACCACAAAACGGTGTTATAGGAT